TTGCAGCAGGAAGTTCCGAGGTCAGCCATATCCCTTGGGACCCAAAGATTGCATCCCTTAGTTTTATTGAACACATTCACCCTGATGAAGAGGCATACCAGGTAGCCCTCAATATATTAAAGGAGGAATATCTGGACCCCTCTCGTGTCACCCAGTTGTTAATGGATGGGTTATCTAGTGCCACACCATTAAGAATGTATGACATACAGGGCTTGAGGGAGTATTGTAACAGGGTGGCTTCCATGGTAAGAATTTTGCATGAGAACGGGCAGTGGGAGGATTTGGGATGTTCTATTTTAGCCAATGTGGTCAAAAAGAAACTTCCACTGACCTTACAAGTTCAATGGAACACTCTAACAAGGTTGCAAGGGGTTCCCAGGGGGGAAAGGTTGTCCCTTCTGTATGAATTTTTCTGCAAAACATGAAAGGATTGGAGACATACTATTCCACAACAAGCCTTGGAGGTGCGTCGAAAACCACCCTTTGCTACATCATCATCTTGTCAGGTAAGTTCAAATTCCATAAATCGCCAACCAGTTACTAATATGAGATCCTGGCCAGAGGTAAGCTTGGTCCAGGCAGAGCCATCAAAAGGTGCTGTTAATGAATCACTAGCTTCAGAAAATACGCAAAAGAATATGCCAAAACCAGCATGCGCCTGTTGCAAGCAAGGAGCTCATGAGTTGGAGGATTGCCCAGAATTCAAAAAGATGATGGTTGAGCAGAGGAAGGAAAAGATAAGAGAATTGTCATGCTGTTTCCGCTGCCTGGAAGGGAATCACATCAGCCGACGGTGTGGAAACAATGTTTGCTGTAAGACTTGTAATGGGAGGTACCACACACTGATGCATCAGGAGAAGGCCGCAAGACCAGAACAAGAGTCAGAGACTTCACGTACAGATGTGGTGGCTTTAGCAGCAGAATCGCAATACCCTCTGAGAATGCTGTATGTTGACGTCAAGGGTCCCAATGGGAAATCAAGGCAAGTTGGAGTTTTACTTGATAGCGGAAGTTCCCAAACAATCATGGAATCTAAGCTGGCAAAGGATTTGGCTTTGCTGCATAAAATGTTTGTGCGCACAACTGCAGGGGTCAATGAATGGTGTACAGAAGATTCTGGAGAAATCACTTTTGAGCTGAGACAATAACGGATGATAAAAGAGATCAAGCGTGGTCTGGATTCTGTGATTTACAAACATCGTACGCGTTTGAATTACGAGCAATTTTCTGCTGCTTTGACAAAAGTTGAGGGGGATTTGAATCGACGCCCTCTTACATTTGATGATGATGACAGGGCTATAACCCCATTTCAAATTGTTGCAGCAGGAAGTTCCGAGGTCAGCCATATCCCTTGGGACCCAAAGATTGCAAAATTGCTCTCCCTTGTGGAACAGGTGCGCCAGGCTTTTTGGAAAGATTGGCGTAACTTGTACTTACACTCCATCAAAACTGAAAGAACAACAGGGAATAAAGGAACCCTGTTGAAAGGCGGAGACTCTGTGGTTGTAGATGACCAAGGAGGAAACGCTTTTCAACCTACCTGGACACCTGGGAAAATAATTGAAACCATTGAGGGTAGGGATGGGCAAATCAGGGCTGTTGTAGTCGACACAAAAGATGGAGAACGCAGGTTAGGAGTCAATTGGATTTATTTAACAGAAATGTAAGGAAATGGAAATTGTAAAATGGTTGTAGTAAGACATGCATTTGAAAAGCATAAGTTGTTTACTGTGAGGTACCTGGTAAAAGGTGAGAAAAGGTTTTTCCTTTCTACCCCTTTTAGGGGGAATGTGGAAGAAAATTCATGTATGCCTGGAGGGATATTAAGTTTCAAATTTTGTGCCTGCAGGTTTGTGTTCTTGTGCTTTCCTTTTCTTGCCTTCTTCTTTTACAGCAGGTTTTGGTCAAGGAGACCGGGAAGGGATGCTGCTGAGGGGACAGAAGTCTCCTGCGCAATTTTTCTTTGGGACCGGAAATTTTCTAAGCCTGAGAGGAATTGGGAAAAATGCGGCGCTCGCACGTGGCAAAATTCTTGTTCCTGTTCTTGTTTTTTTTAATATGTAGTTGCGTCAGGAAGAGAAAAAAGGAAAGAATGTGGTGCGAATTTTGCAGAGCTTTTGGGAGCTTTGACACAACAATTTTTGAGCCTGTACAAGAAGGGGCATTTTTGAAAACCCCTGATTTTAGCCCTTTTACTCTGAAACTGTTTATGCTGCTGTTGGAAAGATAAATCATCTACTGTTTTTCTGGTTTCCTGCTGGAGTCATTCACTTCATAGTACACAACTCCACAAGTTTTTGAACAAAGTGAAGATTGAGGACTGCAAGACAACAGTTCTCCGTTTTCAGATAATAGTCCTCAGATATAGTTCTTCACAGTTGTGGTTTTGCACTCGCGCATGTGCCTGCCAATTTTATTTGAAAATATTATGTGTTTGAAATTTCAATCTTTTGGAATGTAAATCAACCCTCTTTTTCAGAGGAAAATTTCCAAAAAGAATAAATTGCAGTTTCTTTCATTTGCACTTCAGAAACATCTTCCAAATAGTTTTCCTTAAATATATCCCACGGCTAACATAATCTGTGCATTTGCCTTTTTATATTCATCATTCTCCTAGTTTTTCTTGAATCAATGCAAAATTTTTGGTAGGGTTTTACAGTTTGTGAGTTCAAAAACAAATGTAGGAACATTTTAATAAACTCAAGAAACCCGGTTGAGAAAAAAGTTTCTTGTTTTTTCTCATCCGCTGAGCTCTCCAAGAATGTCTTTTGAAATTTAAGGAATATCTGATCTTTCATCCGGATAAAAAAAAAAACCTGATGGAGTTTCTTCTGAGGATCCTCTTCTGCTAAGCAATAATTACGTCATGCGCTGGTAGATTCTTATACTGCAGGCATTTAAATTCAGAGGAGACACATGAAAAACGTATATATTTCACAGGTGCAGGAAAAAATCCCCTGGGAGAAAAAATCCCACAGCTCAAAAATCCGGTGCGGCCACCTCATTCCCAGCTTGTGTTGACTAAGGGGGGTACATCCCCCCATGCCGCTCATGGTCTCCAGCCTGATCCGTCTTTGGCCTGGTTCCCGCTCTCCAGCCCTTCACCTCCTCCACGCTTCCCTGCCACTACCATTTCCTTCAACTCCGCTGTGGCTTGTGCAAAATCTTGGGCCAGTCGTCCACAGCCTCTCCACCCCCCTGGCCCTCTACCTATTGGTGCTATTGTCTACCGCTGCCGGCACCCCTCTGCCAACCCCTCCCTCTGGCATCCTCTGGCTCCCAAGTGGATTGGCCCTTATTGCATCACTGGTCTTCACCGTCATATCTACACCTTGTTGCCCCTGACTCCATGGCTCCACACCATCACCACTCATTGTGACAAGCTTTGACAGTTGCCACTCTAGGGTCTCCTCTCCTGAAGGGGGAGGTGTAGTGTAGGGGAACCTCTTAAAGGTTCCTTCAAAGACCAATGAAGGTCAATTATTCAGGTTAACCTCATGACCTTCTGGAGTGAGACAAGTTAGTAGACTCTGAACCCAAAAAGGAGTACAATAAACTTATAATCCATTTTACGGGTGGCACTGGTTCTCTTTCAAGTAACCCACCCCAAAACATTACTCATGTGCAAACCTGCCCCTGGCAACATCCCACCCCTCACCTGGGACTCCTTCCAGGATGCCACCATAGCTGCCTTCCTCCGTTCTGGCCTACAATGTCCAGATGTGGCTGCCCTCTCTTGTGCCGGGAAACTGACCTGGCTGAAGGCTAACCACATACAGCCTTCAGCCATGGTCAACACACGCAATCTGGAGACCTGCCCTCAACCGTGCCCACTCCGCATACACCAACCAGCCCCTGAGGAGTCCCCCATGGACTTCCTCCACTGCGCCAAGGTACTCTTTGATCTCCACTGGCCATGCCTCCAAGAGTGCATGGCCATCCTCAATGATGCAGCCCCAGCCCCAACAGCTGAAGCCAACCGCCACATCTATGCCTGCCAACCGGCCAACTGGGCTTCCTTCCATGAAATGTTTGAGCCTTGTTTGGCCCACAACAGTGCAATTGCCGTAACACTGTCCTCAACCTCTGCCCTCATCCTTCAGAGAACTACAATTCTCTTGGCACCTGTCTACACTTAGCCTTCCTCAAGTTTATTTGCGCCACTCCTGCTGAATTCCCTCAGTGCCAACAATTTCTCCTCCCAAGTCTGGTGTCCCAACTCATCAGCATTCTCCCTTCTCCTGCTGCATATGCAGCCCGGGGGGGGGGGGGGGGGGGGGGGGGGTGCGTAGACCATTTTGGACCATATTTCATTGTGGGTACAAAGTGTTGGGGACTTATCATCATGTGCCTCACAACAAGGGCAATTCATCTTGAAGCGGCTAAGAAACTCGATGCGGAGACGTTCATCCTCGTATTGCAGAATTTCATAAGCCGACGGGGAATGCCCAAAAGAGTCTTCTGTGACTGTGGGACTGCCTTCAAAGGAGGTGAAACTTTGTTGAAAAAGATGATTGAAAGTCCAAAGGTTCGCCAAGAATGTCGTGAAAGTTGGAGATTTGAGTTTATCTTCAATCCCCCTGGTTCCCCGCATTGGGGGGGAAGCTGGGAACGGATGATAAAAGAGATCAAGCGTGGTCTGGATTCTGTGATTTACAAACATCGTACGCGTTTGAATTACGAGCAATTTTCTGCTGCTTTGACAAAAGTTGAGGGGGATTTGAATAGACGCCCTCTCACATTTGATGATGATGACAGGGCTATAACCCCATTTCAAATTGTTGCAGCAGGAAGTTCCGAGGTCAGCCATATCCCTTGGGACCCAAAGATTGCAAAATTGCTCTCCCTTGTGGAACAGGTGCGCCAGGCTTTTTGGAAAGATTGGCGTAACTTGTACTTACACTCCATCAAAACTGAAAGAACAACAGGGAATAAAGGAACCCCGTTGAAACGCGGAGACTCTGTGGTTGTAGATGACCGAGGAGGAAACGCTTTTCAACCTACCTGGACACCTGGGAAAATAATTGAAACCATTGAGGGTAGGGATGGGCGAATCAGGGCTGTTGTAGTCAACACTAAAGATGGAGAACGCAGGTTGGGAGTTAATCGGATTTATTTAACAGAAATGTAAGAAAATGGAAATTGTAAAATGGTTGTAGTAAGACATGCATTTGAAAAGCGTAATTTGTTTACTGTGAGGTACCTGATAAAAGGTGAGAAAAGGTTTTTCCTTTCTACCCCTTTTAGGGGGGAATGTGGAAGAAAATGCATGTATTCCTGGAGGGATATTAAGTTTCGAATTTTGTGTCTCCAGGTTTGTGTTCTTGTGCTTTCCTTTTCTTGCCTTCTTCTTTTACAGCAGGTTTTGGTCAAGGAGACCGGGAAGGGATGCTGCTGAGGGGACAGAAGTCTCCTGCGCAATTTTTCTTCGGGACCGGAAATTTCCCAAGCCTGAGAGGAATCGGGAAAAATGCGGCGCTCGCGCGTGGCGAAATTCTTGTTCCTGTTCTTGTTTTTTTTAATATGTAGTTGCGTCAGGAAGAGAAAAAAGGAAAGAATGTGGTGCAAATTTTGCGTAGCTCTCGGGAGCTTCGTCAGAAGGATTTTTGAGCCTGTACGAGAAGGGGCATTTTGAAGACCCCTGATTTTAGCCTTTTACTCTGAAACTGTTTATGCTGCTGTTGGAAAGATAAATCATCTACTGTTTTCCTGGTTTCCTGCTGGAGTCATTCACTTCCTAATACACAACTCCACAAGTTTTCGAACAAAGTGAAGATTGAGGACTGCAAGACAACAGTTCTCCATTTTCAAATAATCAATGTAAATACTTATCTTACTCACTTTATTTCGTGCTTATTCCTATATTATATTAATTGTTACCGAAAGATACTGTGTTCCACTAAAAAAATGTCGACTATAATGTTCATACTCAGAATTTTGATCAAAGCGTTCTTTTTTTACCTTCGATGAAATCCAAGGAAAAATTGATGCGATTCCACTGGAATCATCGTAATCTCCTTTGTCGCGATTCAGGAATGCTTCCCACATGCTTTCAGGTAATTTACCGGCTGATTTCTCTTCTTCCACAGCTAAAAGGAATGCGAATATCTTCTGATCTTTCGGCAAAAGTCCTGAAAAAATAGCCACGACAAAACAGTTATCAAATGAATTTTAAATTTTTGAGTGAAAGTAAAATGTTTCGGGGCACAGAAGCACGAACTTCCATTTTTTTTAAAGAAAAGGTGCACGGTATTGTAATTATATATTGCGAAAATAAATTTCAAACGTTTCCTTTGGAACTTTGATGCCTTATTCTTTGGAAAAAGAAAATATGTTTAAGAATCAAATGGTCCAATCGCTTACTGTTCATCAGACGTTTTCAATACTGTACAGTACTTCACTTTTTTTTCATTAGGTTAAAAATCTTGGGATGCAAATTTGATAGAGGCTGAGATTGTGAATATTTTCGACGTCTTACCGACGCTCGTGGAATGATAAATTTCTTGCAAAACCCTGGAGCTCAACTTGTCCCAAATGACAGCCTTGTAAATTTCCCTGTGGTCTTTCAAAGCCCTGTTGACACACGTTTCTGCAATATCCAGAGTAGCATTCCAGTGGTTCGAATATAAACTCGGTCGAAGTTGCGAAAACGATTTGAAAACCGTCAAACAGGTCGCAAGCTTTTCACAAAGTGGCTTGTTTTCTATCGCTGATTCCTGGATTCCTTGTAATACCTTTCGAGAGGTTTCCAAATTCTTTCTCACCTGGAATACAATCATCATCATCATTAATGGAAATAGTCAACGAAGACGGAAACACGTCAATTTGAAAAAAAAAAAATCATGGGCGGTGGACTTTAATTTGAAATATCTCCGCTTGATTGAGCGTCACTCGATTTTTTTTTGTGCTGTAGCAGACGAATCACCTGAATACTGATACATTTTTATGTTTTTAACCCTGGGTTTCTGTTTTAAAGTGAGGAAATGATATGTAATCAGTTTTTTTTTCACTTCAACTAGGGAAATTTAATTCAGGTCGTTTCCTGTACTGTATAGGTAAACGGAAGTGGGTTTTGATTATGTTCCTTTTTGTCTGTTGTTGGACGAGCATTTTTCCGCTTCCGTCAAAATTTAAGCGTCATCTATCCAATGTTCTGAAATTAATCTCTTGAATTTTAGGATCGGTAAAACAGTGTTTATTACCCTTTCGACATCAGTGATCAATCTCTGAAGTTCTTGCAGTTGTTGAGCTGAAACTTCGTCTTGCAAAGATGCGAAATGATCCAATAATTTTTCTTGTCTTGCTTCCACGCCTCTGTACATATCCGGCAGTTTCTTCAGCACGGCTTCGAAAAGTTCTGCTTGGTTCGGCCATCCAGCTTTCAAAATCCTCATTGTCAAAATTTGCTCCAAGAGCTATATATATATACATGGACATGACAAAGTAGATAATTGTAGAGCATTTACATGTGGATACAGCAGGACTTTTTGTTTTGTTCTTCTCACCTTTTTAGTTGGGTAACTCAGATCGAAGCACGCTGGGGTTTTGTCGATCTTGAGTTCCAGCAACACTCGGTTCAATGAGGTGAGCATTTGCGATTGATCTGATCCACTGATTGCGATGAACTTGGGTTCTTGTTGAGATTGCTGCCAGGTTATCAGCTTCTTCAAAATTTCGGACATATTTTCCGGCGAGAAAACGAATTGTAGAAGAATTCCTGAAGTGATTTCGCCGGCGTCTTCTAAAATTTTGCTGAATGACGCATTGATTTCATCTTTCCCGAATATGATTGCCTTAAGACCGGTTGCTTGAAATGCCGCCACGCTCTAAAATAAAAAAGGTCCGATTCATTCATATTTCGTTTTTAAAAAAAAAAAAGGGGAAATAGGTCCATTTCCATTCTCATCTGAAGAAGCGGACGCTTCAAACATAAATTCTCAAACTCTCAATCGAGGAATGATCGAGTCGATATATTTGTAAATATTCAGCCTCGGATGTTTCGCAAAGAATCCATTGGGAATTTGAACAACAAAATTGTAAAATAGCAATTTACACCGGTTTATCTTAAAGCCGAAAAATATTTGAAGAACGGACGCTTGAAATATAAATTCTCAAACTTTCAATCGAGGAATGATTGAGTCGTTATATTTGTAAATATTCAGCCTCGGATGTTTCGCAAAGAATTCATTTGGAATTTGAACAAGATAATTGTAAAATAGCAATTTACACCTGTTTATCTTATAGCCGAAAAATATTCGAAGTCTGCGTGCGAACCTCAATACTGGAATAAACACTCAATTTGATCCCTCAACATTTTTTTTTAATTTAAAAAAATTGTTGACTTATTTAACCTTTGCGAAAAGGACCAATTTGTTCAGAAAACGCGGAAAATTGGCAACGAAGAATCAAGACTTTAAAAAATCAAATGCTTTAAACCTCATTTCTGTGTTTGCCGATGAGGTTTCATGGAATTTAATCTCTTTCGTAAATTGAACTCCATGGCAATATTACCAAATATTCAGGATCATAGATGCAAAAAATGCTTCCCGGGGCTTGATCTTCGATGCAAATTATTCTGCCATACGGATTGCAGCTGAGTGACTGTTCGGTTTGCAGCCTGATGAAAGAATCGCAAAGAATTTAGCAAAAACGAAAAAATAAACTCAAAGATACAGTCAGACGAACCTTCGGCAACCAGCATGAAGACCGAGATGATCGCATGTGTGGTAAACTTGGTCAATTTTAATTTCCAAATTAGTTAAAACGTCTTTCGCTTCAGAAACGACGGATTCATGTTTGCTGCAAGGAATCAGGTCCAGAAATGTCAAGCAAAAGCTGGTGAGAAGAGAGTCTCCTACTAAAGTCGCAGATTTTCCAGCAACTTTCTGCAGTTCCTCACTCGCTCTGGGAAAATAAGAGAAGTTATCGACTATTTCTGAAGAGGGAGTTTAAAAAGTTATCACTGAAGAAGGAGTTAAAAAAATGCTTAAATGCCCTTACATTTGTTCCAGTGTAGAAATCCCAGTTGTAAAACCCTCGAGAATGTCCTTGTGAAGAGTCATTTGCTGTCCTTGACCACTCAGGACATTTAAAGATTTTTCTTTCTTCAGCTTCGCAATTTCCTGTTGTTCCAATACAGGGACCAAATCGGCAATTTGCAGCACATTAAGCACCTAGGAAAGAAGGCGGACCTTTCTAATTAAATCAGACCAATATATATGCTCCCAACGTAAAAAAGGAAGTTGTTTTAATAATTTTTATTGGAGTAGCTACCGAGAGACTTAATTGCACAAATTCTGTTCCAAAGTGTTCACTTGCAGCCGCAATTTTTTGCAGTCAATTGCAGCTAAGATCCAAGTCTTCACAGCAGTTGTTGCATTGGAGAAACTTTGCTCTGGAAGCGCTTCTGCAGCCTGCAAAAAAAAGAAAGACGAAATTTGGAATGGTGTTTTGCACAGCGGAAAAAAATACAGGGTAGACCAGAAAAATTCGGACTCATTTTCCAAATGGAAAAGACAGGAATCTCTAAATGGGGATTGTGAAAAAAACCGGAGCAACATTTTTCTCATATGAATAATATTTCATAATTACGCAGCCATCAGAGCCAAAAATCAAGACATTTGAATTCTTACAATCCGTGCTTAAAACTGCCCATATATTGTAAAATCTAAATTCAGAAAAAGTATTTATTGGAAATTTTATCTTGCTCAACCAAAATTCATTCATAAAACAAATTTCCTTGACAAAAGGGCACGTATTTCAGCAAGTTTTGGAGCTTTGAAATATTCGCGAATTGAGGAAATCGTCGCACGTAAGAAAAGAAGGCTAAAGCAATTATTGTAGCTTATCATCCTAGCCTCAGCATTATTAGAATTTAAAAAATGTTTAATCTTTAAATTCAAAGGATTCTTTCGTTTTTATACCGCGATCAATTTTATGTTTGTAACTTGCTGAAATGCACAGGTCTTAAGATTATTCAAAGATTTTTGCGAGTGTCTGAACGAGATTTAATCTCCAAAAATCAGAATTTGAGAAAATTTCGTTCTACTGCATGATGACATTTTTTTTTCAGAACAAAATATATCTTGAAATTGATTAATTATAAGAATATATGCTGCAGGGGCCCACTGAATTGCAGTTTAATTTCCATTCTGTCAACTTCATGCACGGGGATATAAATCGGTCGTACAACATAATCGGTCAGCGTTTTTCTGGTCCACCCTGTATATCCTCAGACCTGGATGAATCTTCTGCTGTCGTCAGCGACTTCTAGACATAAAATATCCAGAGTTTCCTCGATAAAAAGTAATTTGGTTGTGAAATCCGCCGACCCGATGGTTTTCAAAACCTTCTCCCAAGAAAATTCCGGGATTTCCATCACGTGAAACAGACTTTGAAATATTAGGACATCGCATTCCGACGGCTCTGCCTTTGATCTATATCGAGAAGGAGAAATTTAATCCACAAGTTTCTTGTCAAACTCGAGACAGTACACGTATTTATTTCGATTTCAAATAATTGTATATACCTGAGAGAAGCCCAACCGAGTGTTCCGACACCTTCGATAGAACTTTTCGCTTCTGAAATCAAAGATTTATACGTGCGTTCCGCAGAATCCAGCTCAAATTTTGTCACTTTGAAATCGTTGGTCAATTTTGCAGTCATTTCTTCGAGCTCTGCGATTCTTTGCCGGTGTTGATCATGTGCCGATTGCACTGGAAAAGAAAGAAAATATTAGTTTTCAATGCTGTACAGCTACATAGTTAATGACAGAAGTTTTTCACAGTCTGTGAACTTTTCTTCAGCTGCGGAAGTTTCGAGTTTCAGGTCCTGTAATGCAATCGCGTGTTTCTCCTGATCCAACCCAAGATTTGCGAGATTTAATTTGGCACTCTTCGCTGTCCGCAAGACGTTTTTGCAAATATTTTCCTAAAGGAAAAATTGTAACGTCAGAAATTTACATTAGTAATACTGTACAGAAATCCATTAAATGTTTCTACTTGGTATTTCTAGATTAATGTGGTTCATTCTAAAAAAAAATTCGGTTTTTTATTGCTTGAATTTCTCCGTGGCGGAGGAAGGAATAATTGAATTTACCTTTCGTTTCGTGGCTTGCTGAAATTTCAGCAAAAGTTTTCCAGCATTTTGAGAAAACTTTCGGGACACAAAAGCATCAGGGATTTCGAAAGTTTGCCTTATGTTTCCTTGTGCCCATGAAATTAGCGCATTGATGCCTTTTTCCAGTTCTGCGTGAGCCTCGTCACTGATCCCATCATGAACCGGATTCGAAAGCATATCCGGAATTCTACATACGAAGTCATAAACAAAATTTCATAGAATCGTGTGTTGTACACTTGAAAAAAAATCATGTTCGCTGTCAAGAAAATACAGTATTTCAGACCTGCAAATGGGTGCACTGCGGAGAAACCACGGGATCTTGGTCTTGATTTCTGGAAATGCCGCTGAATTCAGACTGAGGATTATTGCAATTTTCCCTGTGTTTTCCGGAAAATCAACGTCCGTAGTGTTATTATTATCTTGCTGAAGGAAGAGCCTTTCCAAGGTGCGCAGTTTGGCTTTTGGAATTCCCTGACTAACTGCTGCCAGCCATTTCCAAATTCCTTGAAAAAAGATAAAATGCCTGAATCAGCAGAATAATCTCAATGGGAATTTCCAGCATTGGAATAAGGTGTAGCAAAAAAAAAGTTGATTGCATTCGAAAACATTTTCGCAGAAAGGCGCATTTTAGCCTTCCTAAAAATGTGAATAAATTATGAGGACATTTATTCTAATTTTACATTTTTCGAAGCGCAAATATGCTCATTTTTGCATAGAAACATCATAAGCCTTTTCGATTCCGGATGTTTTCTTATATTTCCAGAGTTTATTTCAGATTACTTTGTCTCTTGAATATTAGCAAGCTTTCTCTGCTGCTCGAATTTTTGAAGAACAAGGTATTGGTGCAATAATATACTAGAGTATATTAATAATAATACTGTAAACTGTATACATATATTTATGTATATTTTAAGCACCGATCGAAATTAAAATTCATGATTGAAGAATCCATTTGAAACAAAGTCAACTCAATCTTATCATTCTGAACTAAGCGAGCCTGAAATATATATTCGAATTATATGACTAAATCATGCTAATTTCTAAAAAAAATCGGATAATCAGGCGTTTTGAAATTAGTTTCTCTGAGAGCTTTAAAACTTCGACTGCAGTTCTGATGACAGTCACGAAAAATTTGGTCTTGGAATTTATGGAGCACAGATTATGCATGTGATGGATTAGCTGAAATTGGAAATAATGCATAATTTGGATTCCAGCTTTGTGCGGATAATTTTTAATTAAAATCACGTACCTGACGAGTATTCTGATGAAGGTATTGTCAAATAAATGATTTTCCTTTTCCCCTGTGAAACGGCGACGACACGATGAAGCAAATCGCAAAGTTTAACTGTCGTGAGCTCTTCCAGTTTAATCGCCAAATGTTCTGCCGATTCCTTAGCGTGCAATTTCCGTACGTTTTCACGATTCCCGTGAAGAACCAATATTTCTGCGCATGTTTCCGACTCCATTGCGAAATTCAGCGTAATTTGTGAAACCGTCAAATGATCAGTTTCTGTCGATCGCCCTTCCAGAAATATTTTTCTGAGATTTCCAAGCTCATCAATTTTCCAAAAAGGCACTTTTTCCTGGATCTCACCAGGTTCACCGACCGTTTCAGAAATTTCTCGATTGAATAATTCCTGACAAGACTCCGATATTCTTGCTAGGTCATTGTCAGATTGAGCACAATTTAGAGCAAGATTAGCGATGAAATACATCGCGATTTCCCGGGAACTGATTAAACCGAGTTCAGAAATCCTTTGGCACTTTCGCACGAAATATGCTAATTTTCTGATTGAATAAAATTCCTTCACACGAGGGTCATCCTCGAAGGTCAGCAGAATTTTGTGAAGGCATGCTGCAATCGCCTTATTTTTCGCTTCCGGTTCCACAATGGGTTCAGTTTTCGAGTCAAACATGTCTTCGAAAAGTTGCATCTGAATTTTGTTCCGTTTGATTTCGGGGAATATTCGAGACCACGTGCAAAGATATTTTTCAGTATGGCTCGGAGTTTCCGTCGATTTCATGAACAGGATGAAGGACACGTTCTGCACTTCTGTCCATCGGTTATTGACGTACATTCCTTTGTAGTCTGTCAGCTGTTTTAAAATGGCGAATATGGAATCCTTGCACTTCTGTGGCTGCATAAGGGGAAATTGGCAAAAAGTTTGAAAAATATTTTTAGGATTTTTATCGTGCTGTTTCATGAAAACAAGTGGGTTGATATACGACTCACGAAATGAGAGTTGATCTCTTTGACGAAGATTATCTTTCTGTGATTCGCAGGTCCGATAACAGAACTTGATTGCTTCGGTAAAATTTGCAACAATTGGTCCTTGAATTCCTGCGCTGAATCCGTCGCGTCAACGAAAATCCATCCAAATAAAATATCCCTCGGGATTCCCTTCTTCAATTGCGCATTCTCAAATCCCCGAATCCTCACTCGGCTGATTGCTTCTACTAGGCCTTCGTCTGATTTCCCGTGAACAATCACCGATTTCTTGGCCTGAAATCAAAGCGTAAAAATGAAATTTTCAAGTATTTTTTTTTTGATAAAAACATTTGATTCTTTACAAACTTCGAGAAGAGTTTGAAGAATCCATTGATCTCTGACATTGTCTGCAGCAGTGTCTTTTTCTTTCAGTTGTTCTTCATCGTCCAACATGTCACTCCAGTGTTGCCAAGCCTTTTGATGTACTTGGAAGTGGTACTTGTTCAAGGGTGCCGCAGTTGGAATTTCACCTAGTACACAGCATAATTTTCACATCAATTTTCAAGACCTGCTGAATCCGTGATTGAGAAAAAAATCGTAATGAGTTCAACAATAAAAAAATAAAAAGCAATTTGTTTCCGGTTTTAAGGTATGTTAGCACGATAATTATTAGTCTTGAGACTCTTGACTGTCTTTGGCCTGAAAAATAACTTTATTCACCCTACCGAATTATCTAGCTTCAACATAATGAGACAATAATCTGGAAAATGTTGCACATATGAGGCGACATTTCATTTTCAAGACCTGAATTCATCCTTGAAACATAATTACAATGAATTGAAAAGAAAATGACAAGCAGGTTTGTTTCAGGGTTGAAAATATTTTGACACAATAATTACCGTATTTACTTGAGAACCACGTGCCCTTGAGTAAGGCATGCACCCCCAATTTTCTGGGTGAAAATTGCCCAAAAAGTTATCCCCGCATATGACACGCACCCCAGTTTTTGCTGGCTCAAATATATTTTTGAAATTAATTTTTATTATTTTAGCTGCCTCCAGTCTCAAGTAAATCACTCAGAAATATCAAACTTTTGACCTGCTGCACAGTTGCCTATTTTTTCAGCCTCTGAAATCCCTTTTAACTTCTCTTTAGCAGTGAAAGAACACAAACATATATGCTTGCTTCTTTCCATGCCGTCTTGATACATAGCCTGAAACATAATTTTTCCACCCTATCAAATGATTTATCTTCTATATATAATGAGACAATCTGGAAAATGTTGCACAAGGCGAACATTAATTTCACCAAATTGAAGATGGACGTTCAAAAATCGAAAGAAAACATATCAAGTTTTAAATTATAGTGTTATTTAAAGTATACCCATTCTGGCTGGTTTATCGTCGGCATCACTGATCAACTCCATTCCGGTAGAAGATTTAATCAATTGGTCCAAAGCGTGTCTCCCTGATTCTTCCACAATAGGAAGCACTGTCATGCTGACAGCAGAGATAAACAATGCTTCTGCTTCTTTGATAATGGCTTCGTCTTCACTGGCCATGTCCACGCCCTTGTACATGTCATTGAACAGGATGCAAATTTGACTCACCTTGAGAGAAAGAAAGCACGCGATTTTTAAAAAATCTCAGTGGAATAATGGCGATTTCTTTTGAAAAGCACATAACATTAAAGTTGATTCGACGCCTAAAACGAAATAGTCTACTATATTGCGTAGCGATACAAATTATTTTTTCTTGAAAGCGAAAAACGATAAAAAGGGGACACGAAAGTATGGAAACTTTCTGAAAGTTCAGCCCCGTCATCTGCTATATAAAGTACTTGCTCCATGCAATTTTATTTGGATACATACCAAAATGAAAATCATGATAAATGAAATAAATGTATATTTGTGACTGAGAGATAGAGGTATACATTTTATAATATACAGTATATTATAGGACTGTAGATAAAAAAGATGGTCTTTATTATTTCTGATGCTATGAATAAATTCCAGACTGCATGGTTCATCAGTAAATATCAACCTCATATTACGGCGTGCGTAATATTCAAAATAAAAAAAAAGATACACAAGCAACTCCCTGAAGTTGTCAATAAGTCCAGAAAGAAAATGTTCGCTTTAACTTTTCAAGATCAGGAGAAAAAACAATTTGAAGGAATATCGTGAATAGTCCTCACAATCGATGAAGCAGGTACGTGGGCTTTCAATTTAGACATCCTAGACTCAAGATGTCCGAGAACAGGAACCAAGTATTTCCCTTTCCAGGTGTCCAAAACTGGGCACAGTTTCGACCAGAGTTGCAACGAAGCGTGAGCCTCGGCAGAATCTCCGTCTCCAGTGGGAGTGGAACTCGTGTCAAAAATGTGCTCGTCTGGGGAATGATTCGCATCTTGATGAACTTGCCTGGAACCCCTCGGGGCCAGGTGGGATTTCCACTGGTCCCACGGGTGGTCGATCGAGTCTCGGTGCTCTTGAGGGATCTCAATGACCGGCAGTTTTCCCGCTAGGTTTGCGTTCAAACCCGTCAGTTTCTCCACCTTGAACAAGAAAAACAGGTGATGATACACAGGCGAAATCGTGTTTTGACATGATTAGAGTTTCAACATGATAAATTTCCATGAACCCCTGACATCGAAAAATAAAAAATGCAATAAACGGTTCAAAGATACTAGAAATTCACTAGATTTACTACAAGTTACTAGAAATTTGAATTTTTTGAAATTAGATTTTAATTTCGCTTTCAATTTAAATCGAGTTTCAAGTTCGCTTTTAATTTAAATCGAGTTTCAATTTCACCGCTGATTCAAAAGAGGTTCAAATTAAAATTTTAAATCTAAATCAGATTTTAAGTTAACTTTTACTGCAACATTCAGCCCTGGAAATTTCTTTTCATGATGCATATGCTCTATATATACAGTGTAAGACAGGTTTGTTTGTTTTTCTTCGAGTTCTGCATGGTTAAATATGTTTTTGCTTCATTCCTGCTGACACAAAATGTTGTCAAATCCAACAGCAGTTTCAACAGAATGCTAACTTTTTTGGCAAATATTAGTGAACACTTTATCAAAATAATAAGCCATTAGTGATCCTGAAATCAATATTAATTTCTTTAAATATGAACTTTTCGGGAAAATTTCGTTGAAAAATGTTGCTCCTGATATTATTGAATGATAAATAATTTGTTGCATCGAACAATCTTTTTTGCGGCTTTCTTTTAAAATGATCTATTTCACCTATACGTAGCATGATCCGTTAAAACACAGTTGCATCTTCACAAAATTAAAAGATTAAGTCAACCCACTTACGACAACAACAATCCTCCAGCCATTATGAAGAGAGTAGAGATCCCCCGGTGGGAAAGTCGTTGCCCAGTTGTCTCCTGCAAAAGATGTCACCAGGCTCAGTGTGACAGAATCTAGTTCAGGTGTGTCAATCAGCATGATGTGTCTCCAGGAAAATGCCTTCGTTTCGTCTTCAGTGTCGACTGAGGTGCGACGAATCGACCTAGAACACTTGCAGGCTTGCTCAAGAATGTCCAGGATTCGTGTCCCACCTTCTTCAGTTACTGTTTCCTTGGGTATGATTCTCAAAGCCTATTTGTAGAAATTAAAAAAAAATTATTATCTGGAATTTTTAACTGTTTTCTAGATTGTGATTTGCAACACATTCATAACAGTGCAGTATTCTTTAAAAACCATTTTGAAGTCATATAGAAGTTACCAAAGTTCCCCAACCTTTTTGGGCTCACAGACCAGCAAATTTCCATAAAAGTTTTTTGTGGACCAGTAAATTCCAGAAACATTTTCAGCAGACCAGAAAAGTTTCATACGATTTTTGCAGACTAACAAAAGTTTTGCTTGAAAGGCTGTACATGGCACTTATTTAAAATTTTCTGTTTTTTTGCAAAAATTGAGTTGAACACCAATGAAGCAGCTATAGCAGAATGTCATCAAAAAGTTAGGAAGGTGGTCTTGAAGAAAGTGTTTGTCAGAATGAACAATTAAAGTAGTTTATTCCAGCAGGAGAAAATTTGTCTGAGGTGAATCAGGAGAAAAGCCAACTTTTTTATTTTCATTAGATAATTTCAACTGCCATTGTGCTTCCAGAATTTCCGGTAAAGATAACATGACTTCAACCCTACTTTTGATAAATTTATTATGCAGAAAATCATCTGCAGACTGGCAAAAAACTTCTATGGACCAACGCCAGTCCATGGACCATGGGTTGGGGAACACTGTCCTATACAGGTGGTACCTTGCAATTCAACCATAATCCATTGCCAAACTAGCATCAAATTTCAAATCAGTCAAATTGCAAGACACTCCATGAAATTCAAAATATAAGTACAAAAATGTGAAAAATGGAAAAAGCTGGTCAAATTGCGGGTCAAGGGTCAAATTGTGGGTCAAGGGTCAAATTGCAAGTCAACCTCCCTGCAAACTTGACCATCACATTGCAGGAGGGTCAAATTGTGGTAGGTTTAATTGCAAAGTACCTCTTGTACTGCACTATACCACTTCTACTTTTAATAAACCATCAGTGACAAAAAAAAAATTTACTGTGTCAAAAGCTCAGGATTTTATTTTTTTCTGTTCTTCTACCCAGTGCTCACAATAACTCACCTCTGGACACAGGATGTGACAACAAAGTCGATTCCTTTTCAGTCCAAGTCCTCTACATGGAGTCAAACTCTGACTAATAACTTCGTCCTTGGGTCGTTGAATGCACAAACAAGCCCTGACGAAAACATCAAGGATTGTCGATTTCCCTGATGCTCCTGGTCCAGAAATAATTGCTCCAGGATGACTGTCCAAGACAGCAAACAGTCGAAGGGCATTGTCAAAAGTGACACTATTTGGCGAAAGGTTAGAGTGCGCCATGACTCTATGCAAAGCCTGGACGATAGGCGCGTTTGCGCCAATATTTTGCGCGTTTGCTGTCTGAGAAAGCTTGATAGCTTAAAAAATAATGTAAAGCAACAACATCAGCATTAGAATGCAGAGGTTACTTGGATAACTTTTTTTTTTATAGTCGTGCAACTCACGAAGGTCATCATCAGAAGAGCTGTCTTGAAATCTGAGATTCATCGATTGGTTCATAGATGTCAGCAGTGCTTTGATCGTCGAAAAGCGGATTTTGAAATCTTTCACCGTTCCGTGACAGTTTTCCATCTTCAATTTACTCACAGTATCTTCGATTCTTGATGCTAGCACCTTGAAAAGAATATAAAAAGCTTTTACTGTATATAACTAGGCATGGTTTTCAACTTAGCAGAGGTCCCCTGTTGCATGGTAAGCTTTTCAAGCATTTTTCCATTTTAAACAATGATCAATAAGCATCCATATGCACATTGATGAATTTTTAAAAACACTTCATGCATTGAGGATAGATCTTCATGGTTTATACCAGTGTTCCCCAATCCATGGACTGGCATTAATTTTTTGCAGGTCTGCAGGAAATTTTTTTAAGCATAATAAATTCATCAAAAGTAGGAATGAAGTCTGATATCTTTATCTGATATTTTGCAAAGACAGGTGAAATCATTTGATTAAAAATAAAAGTTGGCTTTTCTCCCAACAATGCTTCAGACAGATTTCCACCTTATGAAATCAATTATTATTATTATTTTTCATTCTGAGAAACCTTTCTTCAAGCCCACCTTTCTAATTTTTCATACATTCCACTATAGCTGTCTGATTGGGCATTAACTTCTTTTTTTTCAAGAAAGCAAACAGTTTTCAAATACCTGCTGCCATAAAGCTTTCCAAACAAAAATTTTTGAGTCTGCAAAAATTGTATGAAACTTTGCCAGACCTGCTGCCATAAAGTCTTCCAAACCAAATTTTTTTTAGTCTGCAAAAATTGTATGAAACTTTGCCAGTCTTAAATTTTTTTTATGAAATTTGCCAGTCCATTGGGACGCCCAAAATGGTTGGGGAACACTTGTTTATACAATTGCCTGAGACAAAAATAATCTACATTATTATGACAGCACATATAAGCAAATATAATTTTTGTTTGCTCAAATACATACTTGGGAGTTTTTGCAGTTCTTCGCTGTCAAATACGACCACAACAAGACGTGTAAATCCGGAAGTGGTGTGTGAATTGGTCTAAAACGCGACGTCAGCTGCAAAAATCCAGAATCAGTCAAGCTAGCATCGAAAGAATTCCGCAAAGCAAAATTGATCAACGGCAATTTCGGTCTCGTCACTTCCTGGTTCCCATGATTTGATCCATTCACCGACTTCTATATAGAAAAGGTAAACAAAATGAATGATTTTCGTTTTATGGATCGAAGAATGGTTCAATTTTCGCTGCCTTAATTTACCTTATGTAGCCCGAAACCACATTCAGTTTTTGTTTCTTGGATTAATTTTGTGAGCTGCTTGAGCAAGCAGGTGTCGGCAAGATCCAAATCTAAATGAAGCCAACCGCTCGTCTTGAAAATTCCGAGGAAGAATTGTTTGACTCGGGGAAATTCTTCCTTATTTTCCAGCCAAGCTGCGACAGGAAAGCTTCTGATAGCTATTCCGATTAAAAATGCCAAATGTCTGAAAGCCAGCGTTTTTCCTCCTTCGTCGAATCCTGCAGAGGCAAAAAAAAAAAAACTAAAATTTTGTGAGTTTCTGTTTTATTGTGTTAGCTTCGTTCAGGTTGAAACGGTTTTTTTTAGTCATGATAATAACTCCTGTGCTGTTGTTATTCTGATATTTTTTTTCAAACTGAGTTATGGGTTCTTTTTTTAGCTTATAGGCCGTGAATTTAGATTAGCATGTCATAGCTCAGTTTGAATTAGCTCAAGCTTAATTCAGGTCTCTCAGGAAGCCTCTTATATAAAGGCGGACACTTTGTCTCTACAAAAAATTCAAGTCATCGCAAAAAATTTCATTATGGAGAAGTTTGATAACCCCTACAACATGGGGATGAGAGAACCCAATGCTTAGAAGTGTTATAAAAGTGGTGCCCCGCAATTTGATCCTAATCCATTGTTGGGCAAGGGTCAAATTGGGAAGCAGTCTAATTGTGGGACAATGTTAAATTCCATGTATTTTTTACATGGAATTTCACATGTTGAGTCCATCTGCAGGTCAAATTGCAAGGCAAAAGGTCAAATTGCAAGCCAACATCACAGCAAAGTCAACCATCCAATTATATGGATGGTCAAATTCAAGGACATCAAATTGCAAGGTACCAACTGTGCAGAGAAAATTGTTGAAGACAAAATCATTCAAGACCTAGAGAGAGTCCACATGTAGTCTAGCCATCAATAATACAGCCAGAGTGGGGAGCTTTTCTTTGTGTGAACCCCCAATAACTGGAGCACACCAGGGTCACAACTAAATGGGCTCTTCTGGGGTTACAAGCATGGACCTATGTAAATTAAATTTTCCTACCATTCCAGAGGTACATTTGGTGCAAAAATGTGACATAATAGGAGTACCACACAAATGCACAACCTGTAACCTTGGTGTAACTTATTTTTCTACAAATGTGACCCTGAGTAATCCTGGTGTGAACACACAATTGGTGCACATTAGGGATACAAATGTGCAAAAGAAGAACTTTGGTACACTTCACGTGCACAGCAGGGTCACTACGTAGAATTGCAGACATATCCCCAGTGTGCACCAATTTCCCCACTTGGGTATAGGCGACACCTGTACAACATTTCAAAAAGTGAGGTCAACGTTGAAGCATTAAAAAAAAATATATATAAAATTGCATCCTGACCAGTGAGCAAAGATGTTTGGAAGCTGGCAGAGGCTTGATTCATGGCTAGAAACATCCTATCCGTTGCTGGAAGGCAAACCATTTCTGAACCCAGCATTCCAGAGTATTCATGCCTGTGTTGATGTTGCACTGGAAGATAACAAAGTAAATCAAGGGAAGTATATAAAACTGATTAGAATTTTGGCACAGTTGATTGAATCAAACCATTGCATTGCCGGAGAACCAAATCGTCCACGTCTTTGCACCAGTAAGACCGAAAACACGACAGCCATTCAAAGTCTCCGACGTCCGTCACACTGAAAATTCGTTTACATGCAACAATTATTTGAAAAACCACTTTCAAAACGAGTTCAAGAGACTCACTTCTTCACGATGAGGTTATCTATAACGTCTCTGGCATGTAGCAAGAAAAGAAGGAAAGCAGTAGATTTCTTATGGAATATATCTCGGTTTTGTTCGGTTTCGTCTCCGTTTTCGCTCAGAATTTGAGACACTGACTCGATCATTCCTTCAGTGTCTCTTATGAAATCTTGACGAAATAATTTCATGGCTGCTGCATTTCCCTGTTCAAATAAAAGATGAAATTTTTCCTCTTTAAAACAAACGCTCAAGTTCCCAAGGTCCAAAGTTTTAAATTTTCTAAGCTGTGGGAAATTTCCAGCGAATGAAATTTTTAGGTTCAATGCCATTTATTAAGATTTGATGAAAGAATAAAATGGCTCTTGGGGGTTTTCCCGTTCAAATGGCAAAAGGCATAGTTTTATTTTGAACCAAAATTATAAATTCAACAAATGGTCGCAAATTTATTATATATTTATTTCTCTCTGCCTGAGTTATTCATGAAATCTCGTCGAAAAAAATTAATTACTTCGAAATGTCCCTGTTTAATAAAAAAAAATCATTTCCCAAACTTTTCTCGATTTTCCAAGAAGAGGCATATTTATAATACTGTATATCAGTATAATTTTCGTAATTGTCTTTATCAAAATCTTGGCGAAATAATTTCAGCGACGCATTTTACTGATATTCAATTGAAATTAAAAATTGTTATTCCGAAGCAAAATTAGTAATTTTCTACGCACTGTGAAGTAATTCAAATGTAGTTTAATTGTTGAATTGAACATTTTACTGATGTTCAATCGAAATGAAAAATTGTCGTTCCGTGGAAAAATTAGTAATTTTCTATGCACTGTTCAGTAATTTAAATGTAGTTTACTTGTTGAATTGAACATTTTACTGATGTTAAATTGAAATGAAAAATTGTCCTTCCAAAGCAAATTAGTAATTTCCCACGCACTGTACAATAATTTAAATTTAGTTTACTTGTTCAATTGACATCAATGCATGCGTGACAGCAGATGTCCACCAGACTCGAACAGCCGAAAGAATCACAGAGGCGACATGGCAATTGATCCAGTCCTTGAATTTATCCCGGGATTCAAACCGGAAATGGAAATCGAATATTGCTCTGAAAAAAGCGTAAAAATCTTTATTGAAAGTAGTGATGCATTGAAAGGGAGTGGAATTGCAAGTTTTAAACCTTTTAGTGGAGAATCTGTGCGACTTGGCGATGGCGATTTCGATTTTGCGCATCCAAGATACACCGACAGGTCGCTGTGGGACTTCGATGCCTTCGCGAAATTTCAATTCTTCGTCATCGAATGAAATCACGCTGATTGCCTCCGAAATTCGCTTAGAATCGTCAGTGACGCGATCAGTGTCCGCAGTGCGGAGTTCCGCGAGATGCGGACGAATCTGAAAATCAATTTTTGTTTTAAATTCTTTGCTGGAGTCGAATAATTTCGGGAATTTTGGGGGTCAAACTGTATAGGAGCTTAAATCAAGATTTCAGGAAATCTTCCATATTTTCAATCTGCGTGATGAGGAATGAATCCTCGTATATGATATGGAGTGAAAAAGTGAGTCCACTTTTTTATGCCAATTTATTTTATTCAATAAGCGAGTGTAACTCTGACGAGTGTAAAATCCATCACGGACGCTGAGTTGCTGACTCGACATGAGGACATTGCAAGACAAAATTGCCAATAAATTTAACAAAAATTGGCGGTTATTTGGCTTGATTGCAAGAAACAGATATTTCCAACCCTAAGATGTATGCAAGAAAAATTTGTTGTCATTTCCCCATCCATTCAGCTAATTAAAAGAATACCTATTCCATAGAGGGACTTTCTTCTCTCTTTATTGTGACTTGAATGTTATTCTTGTAGATGCCAACATTTCAATGTACACTACAGAGATACACTATTCAATGCTCAAAATGTTCTTATTGAGTTGAAAATATATTCACTGAATGAAATTCAATTGGCAAACAATTTTTTTCATGGAATTCTGACAAATATTTCTTCCATAAAACACCGATTAAAAATTATATAATCTAAGTCTATGGGAAAACAAAACTTGACTTGAGGACAATTCAACTTGGGGACACTCCTGATGCACCAATTACATCCACAACTGGGGGCTCTCACTGTATATGAAAGCATCGTGCAATATAAATTATTTGAAGCGACATCTACCCATATTCCGTCGAATCTAATTCGATACGAGCGAGTTTTGCTGATGAGTGGAATGGGCACAAAATCGGCACCGTCGATATCGACGGTATTTACTTACCAGAGAAATCCACGACTTTTCCAACAAAGATGGCGGAGTGCTCATAATGTCTATGAGAGTGATGTCTGACAAAAAATATGCAGCGGGATAAATTCCCCTCGCACTTTCAATGGCCAAATCTTCGCAGCTCTGCAATTTTTCCACTTCCTGTTTGACCTCGAGCAACGTTTCCAAAGCTTGCTCCCCTTGGTAAGATTCAGCGAATTCCATCACACTACTGTCCACTGACTCACATGTTCTCGTCACCTAACCAAAAAAAAAAAACACATGGTGAAATTGAATAAAAACCTTGGATTTCCTGAAGTGAAATACACCTTGGTGTAGATTTTCATGGCATTGATGAACATATCGGCTTCTTGTGTGATTTTGGCGGATGACACTATTTCATCGTCGATTGCGGACTCGGGGAAAACGTGGTAGAAAAAGGCTTCCCAAGTTAGCAGGTCAGACTGAGTTTCAGACCAATTCAGCAAAAGGTCTTCCACTCTGCAAATCTTGTCCCGCAGACTCGCGATTTCTTGCACAAATGGTCCCGCGAAGCTAATGGGTTTCAGAAAAAAAATACATTTGCATAAAATACGCATATACGGTATTTCAAAATTGTCTCACTCGGAAGCATTCAATTTCTGCAGCTGGACGCAGGAATCCTCAATTACTTCTTCAAGCTGATTCGCTCCAGTCAAAATCGGAATCAACTCAGAAAGCGCGTAACTTTCATACGGCTCGAAAGTCAGACGAACATTCGACCAAACCTAATTAAATTCAAAGTATTTGATGCAAGACGCACTTTTTTTTCGTGGCTTCGAAACGTTCTTTTTAAAACCTCACTTCGTCTAGTTCTTGGATGCTTTTCTCGATGAGGAGTTCGTGTTCCGCACTGAAGACCAGTTCTTGGATTACTTTCTGATGCTGATGAAGCTCAATTCCGAAAAAGTCTCCGATCGTCATTGTTTTGAGAGCTTCTTCTATGTGAACACCTTGAATAATATCCAGCAGAATAATCATACATTTTTTTTTTCAATTCTATGCCAATGAAAAATAGCAAAACAGGTTTGAAGTCGTGTATAGTGTTTTTCCTTAAATTCATTCGTGTTCATCGAACTCACTCCAATCTGAATTGAGTGATAAAGGGTAGCACGATATTGGCTGGAAAGTTCATCCAAACATTTATTTCCACTATCATTACTGATTGCGAAAAATTACTGGTTTTACCCACAAAATTGAAAGAAAAGCAAGAAAATGTTGGCTGATTTGAAGTCCTGAATTTTTGAGTAACGGATTCGATATGAGCCAAATTTAGTCTGTCTGAAAACGAGGGTATCAAATGATTGCCGCAGAAATCAGCAACGACCTTTGAATCACTGAACGATGTTGGAAATTATAAATATACAAAATAAACGTTTCAAAGTAAATGTCACCAGTTTAAGAATTGTCTGCCACTATTGGGCATTAGATTTCAAGTAGACGTTAAATATTCATGAAATTATGGATTAGCATTTGCTTATGAATATTTCACATCTCATCCATATGCAGCCTGAAGCGAAAAAAAAATATCCAAGTCACCCAAGAATCGTCGAGAGATTTACAGTATACGAGGGTTGGTTCATAAGTTTCGAGACTTTTCCTGATAGATCCAACAGAGTTTCGGCAATTCCAAAAAATGTTTTTTATTCGCATAGCCCCATCATTTGGCAACACTGCAGCGCAATTCAGCGCAGTTCAACATATTCTCCGTCGATTTAAATGTATTTTCCATGCGATAAATCCGTACTATCTAAACATTGCCAAAATCGAGTTCTGTTTCGATTGTTAGATATATTGCATTAAAAAACGCATTGAAATCGGCGGAGAGTTTGTTGAACAGCACTGAAGTTTTGCAAAATTATGTGGATTAGCAAGTAAAAAAAAGAATTGTAATCGTTGAAACACCGTTGGATCTATTTCAAAAAGTCTCAAACTAATGAACGAAACCTCGTATATGCCCAATTATCTAAAAAAAACTTCAGGAATGTCTATACCTAAGACAACGTTGAGCGTATCATAATGTCTCTGGCGCAAACTTGGGCTGTGTAACAGCTCAAGTAACCTGGCTGCCAAAAGGGAATCCCTGACTTTGCCCTCCAGAACCCAGGCCACTGCAGCTGAACCCAGGTCACTGTGACTGAAGGGCTGCAGATCATGTAAGCAGGTCTTCAGGGGTCTCGAAAATTGCCTGCTTTGCAATTCCAGGCACCTTCTGATGGACCACCTGTCCACGTGCACCTGATGGAAAATCATAGAATTAAAAAGAAAGCGATTATCTTAAACTATGTTTTTTTTTTTAAACGGAGACTTTCGTCACGACATAAGTATTACATAACCATGTGACTTTTTGGCACAAAATGCGCTTATAATTTCATCATTTTTGTAGCCTTTATCAATAAACGTTCCGTTGGACGTTCCAATTTTTCCAGTTTTTTTACAAAGATTGTAAATAAGAATGGAAGTGCAAAACTTTCGCACCACAAAGTCCTCCAGAAAAGAAATATCGTGATTTATTCAACAAAAAGGGGTGAAATCAAATATTTTAAAGGCCAATTTATTAATCCTCTTCTGAATTAAAGAAATGTAATTCGTAAAAATTTTCAGAATTTTTTTGTCTTCAGAGAGAATAACCCTTCAATTTATCAATAAGTGTTTGATTGGAATTACCAATTTTTCCTGTTTTTAAATATACTGTAATTGTAAATAAAAAAGAAGGCGCAGAACTTTTGCGCCATCAAGTCCTCCCTAAAAAGAAATCTCTCGATTTTTTCACCAATAAAGGTCGAAATTAAATATTTTTAGTGCCAATTCTTTAATCCCCTCCTGAATTACAAAAATGTAATACTGTAAATGAAAATTTTCAGAATGTTATAGCCGTCAGAGTTCAGAGAGAATAACCCCTCAATTTATCAATAAATGTTCCATTGGACTTTCCAATTTTTCCTCTTTTTAATCAATATTGTAAATAAAAAAAGGCGCAGAAATTTCGCACCACACAGTCCTTCTCAAAACGAAATCTCTGGATTTATACAACACTAATGGTTGAAATTGAAAATTTAAGTGCCAATTCATTAATCCTCTCCTGAATTACAAAAATGTAATTCATGAAAATTTTCAGAATGTTATAGCCTTCAGGGGATCAGAGAGAATAACCCCTCAATGTATCAATATACAGTATGTTCTATTGGACTTTCCAATTTTTTCCTATTTTTCACCAATATTGCAAACAAAAAAGGAGGTGCAAAACTTTCGCGCCACCAAGTCCTTCCTCAACAAAAATCTTTCGATTTATTCAACATTAAAGGTTGGAATTAAATATTTTTGCTTCCAATTCATGAATCCTCTCCTGAATTGAAAAAAAGCAATCTGAGAAAAGTTTCCGAATGCCATATAGTCTTTAGAGGCAATAACCCCGCAATTTGAGAAATATTTGTCTACTTTAAAATTACTGTATCGCTTTTCCAGATTCTCGCTTACCTTGTATTGATGATAAATGGCAAAAATGGCCTCCAAAGCGTGCATTTCATTGCTCACAATCACCAAATCCGGATACTCGCCTTGAGGTAAGTTGAATAATATTTGAGCAGATTTAAGACGTTCTTGCTCAGATTGAAATCTCTCCAAATCCTCGTTGAATGCCTTTTAAATCATAAAAAAACACATTTGGGATTTTTTTTTAAATCAAGAGAAAGACTTTCTATTACCTGTGTCAAACTCCAGCTGCTGTCCAGGTCGTCTGCGATGAGATTCGGACCTTCTGTGACGAATTTGATCTTGAATTCTTTGCACCTTCGCCGAAAAAAATACGAATTGTATTAATCCCAATTGAATTTGATGCTTTAAATTTTTCCCTCTGTTTTTCTGTATTTTTAATGCTAAAAAGGGACTTACTGGTTGGAAAATAACGATGAGTCGATTTCGGTGATTCGTTTGAATTTCCACTTGACCCTGAACAATTGCACTTCGAGGGTTTGAGCTGCCCAGCAAAGTTCATTCCAAGCATCTTTGGCAGCTCTGTGACTGTTCAAATCATCTTCATCGAGTTCCTTTGTAATCATGTATTTAAAAAAAATCCAAATGAATTATAATTGCATTAGACGAAGGTCTATTTTTTTTTAAATCACCAAAACATTGTAGATTCTTAGCGTGTGCATCATTTCTTCCGATTCCGAAATCTCTCGTTCCATGTCCAAACGATGCTCCAAGATTTTCTCAACAGTTGACAAAATTGATTTGAGATCATCAAAAGCTCTGGGACTTCTTTGCAAAAGAGCTTTGTAAGTCTGCAGATATATTATTTTTGGTCATTCTACAATATATCACTTATATATTCTGTTGAGTGGAAATTAAAAAAAAAAGGTGACCTTCGTGAGCTTCTTTATCTTGAGAATTTTTGAAGTTGCCGCAGATTTCAAATTCAGCGCAAAGCTCTGCATCCAGGCTGTTCCGTGCAAATTCACTGCATGCACCATTGGCATGACATCCAAGCTTGGAAATAAAAAGAAAAATTCGCGAAAATAATTATTATTCCTGCTTTTGGCAACTTCTTGAAATCATTTTGATCGGTTTTGAAATCAGAGTCGCACTAGATACCTGATGCAATGCAAGTTCATATGACTGGATTCCAAACTGGCTTCTTCCACAACAGAACTGTACATGTGGAGTCGGTTTTCAAAATCAGTTACGATCGGGTTTGAAGACATGAATTTTTGCAGGACTTTCGTCCGGTCTAGAATCCAAAGAGGACGAAATTTCCGCCATCTGAAACGGATGAAATCAATATCATGTTCGAACCCTTCTTGTTTCCGTATTTTATGAATGCTCAGGTAAAATATTGTAAAAAGTTTCTGTACGGATTAGAAGAGGCAACAATTTGACTTTTTTTCTTAGGCGAAAATCTTTATCTTGTTTTGAAATTAAAATTTAAAAAATTCGATTCATGTCAACTTTACCAGTCAGACCTAAACTTGAGTGGTTTTTTTGTTTCCACAGTGAATCTTTGAGACCTAGAATATCACATACGCGAGAAAAATGATACGTTTGTTTCATTTTCCGGATTGGCTACAGAACGAGTATTAAATGCTGTCTTCTAAATATTATTTCAATATTTTCTGAAGCGTAAATATGTTACTGGTGCAGGGATCAAGTCAACATTTTTACCCCTCTAATTGTCGCCCCCTTTACAAAATACTGCAGAAATTTAATCCTCGAGTACCAGATGTCGCTCATCGTACGAGATAAATGAGGATGACTGTTGAAACTTTTTCCGAAAACGTTATTACTCGAGAAATTATTTTATTCTCAAGTTTTAATTAAAATATATTCGATCCGGTTGAAAGAGTCACAAAAATCTCATGCAGACTTCACAAAGCCTGTGTACTGTATGGCATGCAGCAAAAACTCATCATATATCAGCATGGTTGTCAATTGTATGCAGAAAAGTGAAATTATCCCATTAAGCCGTCGAATTTCTAAAATATCCTAAAACACCTGGGATCAGAAAAGGCAACGATTTCATGTTCTTTTCTTACTCAAAAATCTTCCTATCGTTATAAAATTAAACTAAAAAACTCAATCTTGAGAATATAGATGATATCTATGAAGTATGAAGTTTTCGTTCGAAACATTCTATCTTACAGAACGATTTAGTCATGCACAAGTCACCTCTTCCCCACATTCTTTCATAATTTTGTTGCTGTTCGTGACTTGTGATGCTGAACAGCACTGACGAACATATCCCGAAAATTAATCAGAGTATCTTCATCAATCTTTGAAATTTCAAAAATCCCCAGGTACCTCAACAGGGTGCCTTGCAGTTCATGGATGAGTTGCTTCGCACTGGCCTTCACGCCTGCAACAGCTGACACAATCCCGGCATGTCGACACACGTCCTCGTAGAACGTCGTCCTACGAGAGGCTCGGTGTCGTTTCCCACTATTGCATGGCAGCGACATCTCGGAAGCACTTTCGCACACTGACGCCGCACTCGCACTGATGATAGCCTGCGTGTCGCGGCTCTGCTCGGAACCCGTAGTCTGTCGCGTCAGGAACCCATATTGGGTCTGACGGAGAGCTACGGCCTGCACGGTTTCCGGTGAACAGCTGACGCAAGTGCCCTTCCACCACCTCTCGAAATGATTCATGCTGTATACGAAAGTATGACAATAACTAAAACAGTCATAGAAAGTCTCCCTGGTTGCTGCACTGTTTCTTAGGTGAGGCGTTTATTTCTCGTACAAATGTATTTAAAATATAAGCTGCACTGCAATTTTCGAAGATTTTTCTGCAATATACATGCGGCCCATACAATTTCGCAAATAATGATTATTTTCAGCAGCCTCTTATATTTGCGTGTTTAATAACTGAAATTGTAAATATAGAACTATTGACTTATATACACACTCCATTGAAATTTGAAAATGAAGTTTAAAATAGAATTGAACCCATCGTCTGGGCAAACATTTTCATTGATTTCTCGTATGAAAACACACATGCATTTAAATTTGTATTATGAAAGGAAACTGAAAGACTGGGATGCATAGGAATAAAATTAATTTTTGTTGCATATGAGTATGTGTAACGTAAAAAAAAATTAACCTTTGTAAGCTCGAACGAACACACTCCGAAATGAGCCCGAAAACTTGAACCGAGGGTGGTTTTAAAAGTATTTCGGTTCCCACCAAAACCAGACTCTGGGTCCACAATTGTTTGCTTCCCAAGAGCGATCTCTGAAACTTGATCAAACTCCTGGAAATAGAACTGAGAGAAAAGCGAACAGCGGTTGAAAAAAAAAGAAGAAAACATTAAAAATAATTAATTGGTCTCAATATTTTCTATACTAGTTTACCTCACGAGGGCCTGGTAAACTTGAACTTCCCAATAGTGGTAGTACTTTTGCATCCGCTTCGCTCGACCAGTACTTGTACCGCAAAGAATCGCCTCCACGTTGATCAAAACGGGGCTCAATGATTTGTAATTTGAAAGACTGATCGTTATCCACTCAGTTTGCCATCGCGAAAGCTGTTCAAAGAACCCCTGCAAGATAATCCAGAAGGTAATTCTCGATATAGTCATCTGCTATAATTAGGTTGAAAGCAAAAACCATCAAGCATTTCAGAAATTAAAAAAAAAATTGTCGAAGTACTCATCTTATGATTTAGTTTCATTAACATCTCTCTTGAAGAAGCATTCAAAATTTCAAAATATTCGAACGCAATTTTCAGGATACCACAGCTGACGTGTTAATCTTGATTCAAAAGGAAAGCGAGATTTTGAATATTTTAAAAATTTAAGGGAATTTCAGGATTCCCATAATTTTATATACGCGAGTTGATGATCTGCCTTTAACAAACCGGAATTTCCAATGGTTTCGTCTTATGCACAAAATTATAGTGTATTCATAGGTACTTGAAGAAATATTGAATTTAAGTGAGTTAAAATTTATCGCTAGGAACTGTCCCGTTTCCGTTTCAAATTCGAATTAACTGCCATTCTTTTGAAGAAAATTTCACATATACTTTTCCTTGCGCTCATTTAAAAAACGGGTATAATTTTCAGTAAATGTTTCCTCCAATTGCTGAGTTCAAAGTATCCAAACGATAAAATGCAGAATTTCTCGGTGGAGAATTTAATTGATGAAAATTTCTCAATTTCCGGGGAAATCAAAACGTGTAAAAATAAAAAAAGCTCACTTTGCAACTTGGAATCCCCTGCGATTTCACACGCAGTTCTTCGGTTGAATGCACAGCAGTTCCGTCAATCGGTTTTTCAAACAGGTCCATTTTTGCAATGGCTTTCACGTGATTTCCCAAACATTTGCTCAGTTGCTGAACGGTGTCGATGAGAGCGACGAGTTTGGAAAGCTCGTCGGAAATTTTCTTGACAAAAGTCTCCAAACTGAGCGAGAGGCAGTTGTACTTTTGCAGAGTTCCAGTACTTATTTTCCTGTTCATGGCTTCCAGTTCGAAGTTCAGCAGTTCTTCCTAATAAGGAAAATTAAATGGGAGATTAGGAATATTCTTCGATCAGAGAAGGACTAGTTCAGCGCATGTTCCAAAAATGATGCACGCTTATCATGCTTGTGCAATTATAGTAATTCATTTTTCATAAAATAGCTGGATGTCACTCAAATAATTTCCACGCTTGCGACTCGTTATTTCAACGACAAATGACCTCTTTGGTACAGGTTTCATATAAAGTACAGTAGTTCTTCATGAAAGGAATGAACACTTATTTTTACTGATATTCGAAATAATCTTCCCACGCATTCCAGAGATTTTTTCTAGCAACTTATAAGTGCTGTAGGGTGATAATTACTTCCGCAGGATGGAGTCTCTGCTTTTCCCGGCTGTAATTTTCAATTATGTTGGCCAATATGACCAAGGACTTTCTTCTGGACACGTCCATGATTGAAATTGCAAGATTTTCGGGAGAAACTTCAAAACCGAGGTTCTCCAAGCTCTTCGTCTCTCTGATCAAGTGGCTGAAGTACGTCTGTCGACAAATCCTGAATTTGGATGCCACTGTCAAAATACAGCCGAAAAAGGAAGTTGAAACAAATGTCCTTCCGTGAATGAATGAGTTTACGGGATCTATATATACTGTACATTCATCACCTTTATTTCCCACAGTCGTTCCTGATGGGTTGTATTCAAGGATCGGCAGGAGAGATTTCGAAACAGATTTTTCAGTTGCACTCGCTCTCCAACTGGAAATCATTTCATTTTCGTACGTCGTAAGTGTGTTCCTTGCTTTCTTGGAAAGTTGTATAGTCTGTAAAAGAGAGTATTTGAAACATTAAAAAAAGAATAGTTACTCAAATTCAATTTCAATTCGTCACCTCTTGCCATTCCTGTTCAAATTCCCGCATTCGCTCGGGCCGGAATTGTTTCAGCGGGTTTTCAACTCGCGAGAGCAGGTGTCGCTCCCAAGCAATTGCTCCAGCAACCGCCGGCAAGTTTTTACCGACAGGTGGCGTTACTTTCAAGTACTGAAATTCCACACCACTCATTCATAAATAAATACATAGGCATGTATATTTTCTTTAACAAACCTCGAAAGTCTTTTGCACTCGAACCACTTCTTTGTTGTAGTTCAACTGAGTATCCTTCAGCTTTTGGATAAGAACTCCTTGGATTGAAGCTCGAGTGTTGGACGTGAGGAGATTTTCCAAGCACAGAGAAGCTGCTTCTACTGATCTTCATTTTAAATTTTTTTTATCGAAACAATGAACATCATCGTTGATGGAATGAATGAATGAAAAACGAACAAATTAACAGCATAATGCAATGGGCCAACGAAATTCTCAATAACATAGAAATATGTAGACGAAATACACTCATAAATGGTTTGCTGCTGAAAAATTGTACGCGGAAAAAATTAAGAAACATAATTTTTATTCTTTAGGTTGAAAGTGTCAGGAATACTTTCTCTAAATGAAAATTACATTATTCAATCAGAATAAAGGCTCTTCGTTCGATGGATTCGAACAGTCAAGGCAATAAACCACCATGAGTCAAAACCCTCCATATGTCAAATTAAAATGTATTCCCTGTCTGAATTATCGCAAAATTGATAAAATCAATTTAAAATGGACCTCGCTAACTCCAAAACGTTCCCCTTCAAATGTTTGTAAATGAATTTTTTAAAGGACTTCGGGCTTTTTTTTCATGGGACCCACCAGGAAGGAGAAGAGCAATCCAAATTTGATGATTTTCATGAGAAAGTAAGAGGTTGATTTGGAAAATTTACCCTTTCACCCTAGGTCAACATCCTGTCAACTCATTTATTCAATAGTTTAAGGCCCAGATGATGACCAATTTTACCTTGTATTTCTTCATTTTTCTTCTTGAAGAAAAAAAAATTCTGGTTTCTATAACCCATCAGAAGTCCAGAACCCCCCCCCCCCCCAAAAAACGTTTGTGGCTTTCTTTGAGTTCAGTTTACTGTAATGAGGTTAAACTGCAATCTATATATTATACCGCGTATATTTATAAATTAAAATTAATCGAAATCTCATGCTCCACTGAAATCATTTGAGCAAGTTTGTCATTTTTGCTGATTGCATAAGTGGAAAGTATGAGGCTTCAGCAAGACTTCAATTCTGCGCATGCCGTGAAACATCTAAATGGAATTCTTCGAATTTTCCTCAATACACTGGATTTTCTCACGAATAATTTAGCATAAATTTCAAACGTATACAGTGGCTCCCGCCTAACAGATCTCCCACATAAGGGATTTTTACCTAACAGACCAGCATCAAAATTAAAAGTAAAAAATTAAAAAGTGAAAAAAAATTTTGAAAATTAAAAGTCTCAATTTTTTATAGAACTGAATTCATCTAAAGGACTTTTTACCCATTAGGCTTGCCCATTGCACAAATCAAGTCCGTTAGACGAGGGTTGACTCTACCTGATGTTCATGAAGGCCTCGTTCAAGAAGCTGATGGTCTCAGACTCGAGAAACCGAATGTCTCTCCAGAAGGAAGTGATGGTGGATTGCCACTGATGCGGGGTGCCATTTGAGCCTTCCATCCCAGCTCTTTGCGGCTCTGCCAAAAACGGATCGAACTTCAAGTCGCTCAGTGTCCCTGCCGAAATGAATTCCACCCGTTTTCGCAAACTCGTCACGCGGTGCGGCGTGTTGACTGCAACACTCAAATCCCTGCCCAGCACTGTGTAAAATTCTTCTTGCACCTGATGATCATCAAACAAAATTAAGACAATAACAAAAAAAACTTGTCGGAAGTTTAATTTAGATTTTAAAAACCTCTTCTTTTTATAGTTCGTGAAGAAAAGGAGGATCTTACTTTCACAACGCAAAGAAGGTCTTCGCAAATTTTAGCGATGCATTCCATCTTTTCGAAAATTTGTCGCCTGTCAAATTCCCAACGCCTCGTGCCACGTTGAAAAGCATTTTCAACAGTTTCTGTTGTGATGTCTCCAGTGTCAGTCATTGTGTCTCTCACGTCCAAATAAGTGTTTCTCCACACGTTCATCAAATCAATCACGCTTTGCAAAGTTGTCTTGATTTCTGCCGATGATTGACTATGAGGAGGGGATGAGGAATAATGAAAAAAGTGAATGATATACAAACAGAATTGAAATATTGTTGAGAACTTCTGAGATAACATGCCGTTGATGAGGGAAAAATTGTCTCGAGAGTTTCTTGATACACATTTTATTTTCAACTTTATTTCATTTCAGACACTGATGTCAAAAATAAAGTAAGGGGATGCTTATAAACACACGTTTCAAGAATTAGCAAAAAAGGCTAATCTCCTCAGGAATCTTGTGGGACCAGAGTTGACCTTGAGTTCTTACAGATATTCTTGATACTTACTAGGAGTCTTCATTTGAAATCTGAAAAAGTCCACAGGGACAAAATTCAAAATTCTCTTATTGCTTTCCTTTTTTCAAAATATAATGGTCAGTTCTGACTTCTGACCAAAAAAGTAATGCATTCAATCTCCAAACTTTAGACCTGAGCAGACCTTGCAAGTGTCTACTGATTGTTGTGCCTGATAGTGTGACTCTGATTTTTGATAGTCTGTTTCTTGTTACATGAGAAACAATTTCTTTGAAATATTTGTGATTTGAAAGCCTGAAAAATATAACAACATTAAAATAGGGTTTTACCCTGGCTGTACCCAGGTGGACTAAATCATTTTACTTCCAAAGAAGTTCATCTCACTCTTTCTTGTTGGAAATTTATTTCCAACAGCAGAGATAAAATGAGACTGGCGGTAATTGTCAGGAAAATAATTCTGAACTGAAAGAATTGATCTGATGTTGAAGAGCTAAATCTATTTTGAATTACACCAAGAATTTCATGAGACTCGCATTATTACACAATTGCCTTGATATATGTTGTAGATAATTGCTGACAGGGGAAACTTTATGAAATCACCAGACAGACATAGCTATAATATACAGGATATTTTAGCAATCGTTGAAACCAAATGATGTTGCCCCAAAAAATGAATATCAGGTGCATTAACATACTGGATTTCTTGAGATTCGCTTTTTTTCACTCGCCTCATCGATTTCAGCTGAAAATTGTCCGACGAAAAATATAATGAAACAAAGCAATGTCAGAGTCTATCCATTTGGATTTCAAAAAAAACGTCTCGTGTTGATGAGGGGAAATTCACAGCAAATGAAATTACTGTACTTGAATAGTTTCTTGAGACTGAGTTCTTTTGAAATTCGGGTGGCGATGGCTGCGACCACTTGCTTCAGCAACCCGAGAATGTTTTCGTCATTTCCGTAGAATTTTGACAAGTCCCACAGGATTAGAAATCCTGTAAACAAGCTTTGAATGGTTTCTTCCATGCCTTTCCAGCTCCTCGTTCCACATAAATCCTATGTAATATATAAACTGATGAGTGACAGATATGCATCTAATAACATCCAAGTAAAATCACACCCTGAGAAAAATGAACCTTATTTCAAAAATGAACCATTTAAAATTTCATATTCACTCAAGCTAGATTGCAACCCAAGTACTGTGTTCATTTTAAGTTGATTGAAACCTTTCCAGTCAGTTTTTCAAGCCTCTCAGCACAGAGATGACCAAAATCAAGGTTTTGTATACCGTATTTACTTGAGTACCATGCGCACTTGAGAAAGGCGCGCACAGGGGTTTTTAACTTGAAAATTTTGCAAAAATCTTATCCCTGAGTAAGATGCACACCCCAATTTTTAGTGAACTTAAACCATAAAATTTCAAAAATAAAAACAAAAAATTTGACTTTAGGCGTGAATTGATCAAAAATCTGATGAATTTTCAACTTGTTCAATACAAAAATGTTTTTCTTTTTATATTTGTTCCAAATTTCTCCATTATAGTCAAGTGTAATGCAAGTATAACTTCCTAAAACTTTTTGAAAATTTTGTACCCGCTTATGACGCGCACTCCTTTTATTCTTCAGAAATTTGGGGAAAAAGGTGCGCGTGGTACTTGAGTAAATAGGGTAATTGTTTATAACTGTCATGCATTTTTGAGATGGGTTCAAGGGAAGACAAGTTTTTCAAGGTAAAAACGTGTCTTCCCTGCCCTCTGGGATTCCTGGGACTGGGCAAAAAACCCTGTGACCCAGGAATTCCTGAGGTGGTGCAAACTGACCCCTGCATGAGGTTGGTTTCACTGAACTATGCTATTATATCTTTGTCAACATCTCATGCCAACACCCAGTATCCTTGAAGGATAATTTTCCTGGTGACTCTTGTCACAAAATTCTACACACTTCACATCTGACTCTAAAAGAGAAAAGACCTCTCTGCTCAAAAAACCTTGCTGTTTTTGTTTGTGCTGATATTGAGACTTTCTGAGAGCTCAAAGTGGTGTTCAAGAATTCAAGAAAATAAACCAATGCTAAAATAAGGTGTTTGATCACCCTGGTTGCAGCCCAACCAAGCTCTTGTGTTTTATTCTTAAAAACAACCATCTTAGTAAATTCCCAACAATAACAATGTACAAGTATAGACTGGATAAACTATGGCACTCAACAAGAATAATTTGTTGCAGACACAAGTTTCCAAATAAATTCAAATTTTAGAGGACTAAACAAAGAACACGGGAATTTATTGCTAAATCACAGTTTGATGAAATATCTTATTTGATTAGGAATTTATTAAATTTAATTCTGCACAAAAATCATTATCTTAATTGATCCCATCAGAAATAATTTCCACAGCAGAGTTTTACTATCAAAAACGTGTCAAAAGAAATGAGGAACCAAAAATTGAACATGCAAACCTTAAAATATGATTCCAGAGGAGCCATGACTTGTAATGTTTCTTCTGTCCTCCTGGCATCTTGATTAACCTCCTGGTCAAGATACTTCAGATGGTCCAAAAGAGCCGCAATTCGCTGTTTGGTGTCTTCGTCCAAGTCCATGAGGGTTTCTGGAAGAATGATGATGTTTTCCTTGGCTTCGGGCAGTTCATTTCCCTGTTCTTCATTCGGTGATTCAATGTTTCGTTGCTCCGGTGCTGATGGATTTGAAATACGCAGGAGATTTTCACCACAACTGAAGGACTCTTTGCGTAGAGCGTCAGCCAAAGTCGACAACTCGCTCAAATGACGCAACCATTCGTCGACAACGTCTTGAACATTCGCTGACCTCGTTTCGAGTGTCTAAAAATTTGTTTTTTATACCAAAATGTATAAAGAATAAAGTACATCGTTTCAATTAAATTGATGTGATTTTCATGGAATAGTGTTACCGCTTGTGAATAAATCTTCCATTTTTGTTCAGCGCTGCGAACCCAATGATCCAGCAGATCCAGTTCATGGGTTAGTTTTTCGTTGTCGAATTGGCCTGCAGAAATTTCTTCTATCGGAGGAAACGAAGGACTTTCCGGCAACTTGTTTTCTGCATCGACTTGTTCTGCGTGAACTTGAAGCCTGAAATAAGCAGAAAAGAATTTTTGAAATATACTGTATAATTTTGGTACTTTAGCGTGGCTCTTTTTTTATTTGCGTTCTGCAGCTCATCTTCGACTTTGATTTATTTTTGCTCGATTTTTAGAGTAAATTATCATTTACATGTAATTTTGGAGGAAACTCATACCATGTTCTGTTTTGAATTGTCAAATAATAATGAGAATGCCATCTCTGTCTCAAAATTTCCCTGTAAATAATTTGCTGTGAATAATTTTTCTCTTCTTGTGACCAGCATTCCATACTGATAGAAATGAGCTTAAGAAAGATTTTCAAGTATTGGAATTCAATGAAGAGAGCCTTTCTGAAATCATAGAGGATCAAATAAACTGTTGGCCATATATGATTTCTCATCAAAGATTCTCTCTAAATTGTACATTCAACTAAACTTCATCTGGAAACAAGATGAAGACCTTATTGTGCTCTAAATTGGGTTCATAACTGCTGCAATTGCTTTAATTGTGGCTTATGCTGCAATTCTTGTCACTGATATTTTGTTTTCCATGACAGGGAAAGAAGAGGTGTACACATACATATCAGTTGTGCAGTTGTATTTTCTGGAATGTATTTTCTTTTATTTTTGTTTTCCATATGCATCCAATTTGTCTGTTTCCCATTCTGAAGAGATTGAATGTCTTTGAATGGATTTGGGTTGGGTGGGGATAGGGGGTTTGGATTTGGGAATGTTGATTGCATTTTGTGAATGCTGAAAAGCAGAAAATAAAGCTTTTTGTCCATTCATTCATAATTTGCTGTTTTAAATTAATGGCCCCACCCAAGTGGGGAAAATTGTGCACACTTGAGATATGCATGTATTCCACACAGTGACCCTGCTGTGCACCTGAAGTGTACCAAAGTTCCTCTTCTGCACATGCATATCCCCAATGTGCACCAACTGCATGTTCACACCAGGATTACTCAGGGTCACATTTGTAACAAATAAGTTACACCAAGGTTACGGTTGGTGCATTTGTGTGATACTCTTGTTATGTCATATTTGTGCACCAAATGAAGCCCTGGAATGGTAGCAACATTTCATCTACAGAGGTGCATGCCTGTAACCCTAGAGTAGTCAATGTACACCAATTTTGACCCCAGTGTGCACCAGTTGTGGGGTCACACAAAGTATAGCTCCCCACTTGGGCAGTCTATGTCAAAATGTCTCTGTTTAAATTTGTCCAGTATCAAATTTACTGTCTCAAATTGTCTATATTCCACGTATCAGTATTAAAAATATTTTCTTGACATATTTTACCTTGCTATGAGTTTCACATAATTTTCCACTTGCTCCATCATTTGTAAATGACGGCGATATCTTCCACTGATTTTCTTCAACCGTTCTTCCTTGGTACCGGGTGCTTTTTCTCCCGGTAGAACAGACTCTGTACTTTCCACGCAAGACAGAAAAATTGCCCGGAGTACTGCCAAGTACTGAGCCACTTGTTTTCTGGATACCGAGTGGTAGTCGAAAGAATCTAAAAATTCTTCGGAAGTCTGTGGCTCGTTGTCAGGTTTTTGAAGTCGTCTCATGATTATGGTTCGTGATGAAGGTATCGAAATTGTGTTTGGTGCTGACGTAAGATTGAGTTCCAAATGTGATTCCAAATTTTCTTCGGCAGCAGGAAAAATTTCCTTGTCCTAATTGATGAGTGATGATTAGAATTTAGTTGATGAATTATTTGCGAAAGGAAAGCCAATATGAGTTTGGACTGTTATTCTTTTGGGAATGCAATTCAATTCAAGAACAATTTATGGAAACGTTCGAGGATTTTCTATACATTCTGTGACGTATGCTTGATCACTTTTCTGCNGAGATTTTCACCACAACTGAAGGACTCTTTGCGTAGAGCGTCAGCCAAAGTCGACAACTCGCTCAAATGACGCAACCATTCGTCGACAACGTCTTGAACATTCGCTGACCTCGTTTCGAGTGTCTAAAAATTTGTTTTTTATACCAAAATGTATAAAGAATAAAGTACATCGTTTCAATTAAATTGATGTGATTTTCATGGAATAGTGTTACCGCTTGTGAATAAATCTTCCATTTTTGTTCAGCGCTGCGAACCCAATGATCCAGCAGATCCAGTTCATGGGTTAGTTTTTCGTTGTCGAATTGGCCTGCAGAAATTTCTTCTATCGGAGGAAACGAAGGACTTTCCGGCAACTTGTTTTCTGCATCGACTTGTTCTGCGTGAACTTGAAGCCTGAAATAAGCAGAAAAGAATTTTTGAAATATATATTTTTGATACCTTCGCGTTTATTGCTCTTGTTTCTTTTGCGTTCTGCAGCTTATCTACGACTTTGATTTATTTTTGCTCGATTTTTAGAGTAAATTATCATTTATATGTAATTTGGGAGGAAAATCATACTGTGTTCTGTTTGAATTGCTGAATAATAATAAGAATATAATCTCTCTCAAAATGTCCCTGTAAATAATTTGCTGTAAATAATTTTTCTCTTCTTTTGCCCAGCATTCCATACTGATAGAAATGAGCTTGAGAAAGATTTACAAGTATTGGAATTCAATGAAGAGACCCTTTCTGAAATCATAGAGGATCAAGATAAACTGTTGGCCTTATACAATTTCTCATCAAAGATTCTCTCTAAATTGTTCATTCAACTAAACTTCATCTGGAAACAAGCTGAAGACCTTGTGCTCTAAATTGGGTTCAATAACTGCTGAAATTGCTTTAATTGAGGTTCATGCTGAAATTCTTGTTACTGATATTTTGTTTTCCATGTCAGGGAAATAAGGGGTGTACACATACATATCAGCTGTGCAGTTGTATTTTGTGGAATGTATTTTTGTTTTGTTATCCATATGCATCTACTGTATTTACTCAAGTACCACGCGCCCTCAAGTAAGGCTTGCACAGGGGTTTTTCAGTTGAAAATTTTGCAAAAATCTTATCCCCAAGTAAGAAGCGCACCCCAATTTTTAGTGAATCTAAAACCATAAAATTTCAAAAATAAAAACCAAAAATGTGACTTTAGGCGTGAATTGAACAAACATCTGATGAATTTTCAACTTTTTCACTACAAAAATGTTTTCTTGTTATATTTGTTCCAAATTTCTCCATTATATTCAAGTATAATGCAAACATAACTTCCTAAAACTTCTTGAAAATTTTGTACCCACTTACGATGCACGCCCCTTTTTTTCTTTGGAAATTTGGGAAAAAAAGGTGCTTGTGGTACTTGAGTAAATACAGTAATTTGTCTGTTTCCCATTCTGAAGTGATTGAATGTCTTTGAATGGATTTGGGTTGGGTGGGGAGGGCATTTGGATTTTCATAATACACACTTTTTTTTTTTTTTTCCATTCTGAAGTGATTGAATGTCTTTGAATGGATTTGGGTTGGGTGGGGAGGGCATTTGGATTTGGGAATGTTATTTGAACTTTGTGAATGCTGAAAAGCAGAAAATAAAGCTTTCTGCTCATTCATTCATAATTTCCTGTTTTTGATCAATGGCCCCAGTCTATGTCGAAATGTCTCTGTTTCGATTTGTCAAGTATCAAATTTTCTGTCTCAAATTGTCTATATTCAAGGTATCAGTATTACAAATATTTTATTGAGATATTTTACCTTGCGATGAGTTTCACGTAATTTTCCACTTGCTCCATCATTTGTAAATGACGGCGATATCTTCCACTGATCTTCTTCAACCGTTCTTCCTTGGTACCGGGTGCTTTTTCTCCCGGTAGAATAGACTCCGTACTTTCCACGAAAGACAGAAAAATTGCCCGGAGTACTGCCAAGTACTGAGCAACTTGTTTTCTGGATACCGAGTGGTAGTCGAAAGAATCTAAAAATTCCTCGGAAGTCTGTGGCTCGTTTTCGGGTTTTTGAAGTCGTCTCATGATTATGGTTCGTGATGAAGGTATCGAAATTGTGTTTGGTGCTGACGTGAGATTGAGTTCCAAATGTGATTCCAAATTTTCTTCGGCAGCAGGAAACATTTCTAACAGGATTAACTACTCACTACTAATCTTAAATCAACTACTTAATAAACGCTTTCCTTTCGGTTATACTCAAACCTGACAATAAGAAAACCCTTACGTTAAGTTAAGTTCTTGTTAAATACCTTTGCTTTGAGGATTTTCTATACATTCTGTGACGTATGCTTGAACACGTTTCTGCTTTGGAATCATTATTAACGGAAGGAAATGTGCAAAAATGGGTGGTTGTCTTATTTATTTCTGCAGAGATTCAAACGGAATCGGAATATAACAATATCTGCTGCATGATCTTGAACACAAGCGAAACGCAAAAAAAAAGAGCAAAAATCGGATGAAGCAACAATATGATGCTTCAGAAGTAAAGAGGGTGTTTATAAAAAAATCTAAATCTAGGTTGTCAATTTAATAATTTGTATGCGTGACAGCGTGTTTAAAAAATATCGAAAAATTCTTTTCGAAACATGATGCTTAATACATCTAATTTTTTCCTGGAAGCTTTCAGTCGCATAATCGCGGGTCCATCCGCGCGGGTAATAATGAAACGGGTCGCCGTTCTTCCCGTATACAAATAATTCTTATACATGTGAACAGAAAGGAAAAAACAAAACTTACAGTAATAGGTAAAACTTGCTCTTCTTCACCATCAACAACATCTTTCTCGGATGCTGAATGATCTTCTTCTTGTTTGTCTCGCTGTGCGGATGGTTCAGCCAAGGTATCCAAGCTTTCCATTGAAGCAGCAGGTCTTTGTTTGTCGACCACAGCGACATCTTCCTCAAATTCAGAAACTGTTTCAGACACTATAACTTGCGGTTCTTCCAAGAGCACACTTTTTTCCGAGCCTTGTTTAGCGGACCTGGCTGACGATACTCTTGAAGCTGGAGATGCTGAAAAATGGGCACAAAAATGTGATTCAATGCGAAATGTTGGATTAAAAATATTGCAACAACTTTTCCGTATACATGGATTAGGATTTCAAATTTTTATACATTCCTTAATGCTGCTCAATGTTGATTTTTTTTAAAATGCCAATTGCTACAAATTCCGACGGCATATGCACATAAATTAGGCAAATCATCCATTATACCAAGTGAACTCTTTCTATACCGAAATTCAAGGCATCAGAAAATTCACTGTAGAGAGAATTTTGTCGTATACGAAATTCCACATAGCATGGGGGAAGAAATCTATGGGAGAAAAATTTCTTTTACAGAGAAAATCATTGCAGCCAATACCGTTGTAGATAGATTCCGTGTAATGCAATTACATGAGAAAATTAGTTCGCTAAAATATTTTTCAATAATGTGTTTCCTACAAAGAAGCGGCTGGTATCCAGAAAATTCAAGGGACCATAAAAAAATTCGTTGTATAGAGAAAGTCCACGTGGTATAATGCATTGTTTTGTGGTACGAATTCCGACGGCATATAGGCATATGCAGTATTTCCACATAAATCCGGCAAAAATTCGTTACATCACGTGGACTCTATATATATAATGAAATTCAAGGCACAATAACAATTCTTTGGGGAGAGAATTTCATTGTAGACTAAATTCCATATAGCACAAGGAAAGAAATATATAACACAAAAAATTCGTTGTTGCCAAGATCGTTTTAGAGAGAGATAGAGAGATTTTGTATTACAATAACACGATATAATTTATTTGCTAAAAATATTTTTAAATAATGTTGTTCCTACAAAGAAGCTGTTGGTATGTCCATAAGAAAATTCGTTATCCTAAAAATGTTTGTTAAACTAAAATACGCAATGAGATTTGTTGTAACGGAATTTCGCTGTAAGTGATGAAAAACACTCACCTGGAGAAAGTGCAATAGAAGTGAGCTTTTTCTTCATTGCTTGCACCAACGTTGTCACTAAAATATCCCCAACACGCATCGTTTCTTGACGCATGAAATATTTATCCAAAGTGTCTAGACTTTCCGTGCTCAAATTTGGATCATGTTCAAGCTGCTGTGGGTTGTTTGCAGTGTCGAAAAGGGATTTGATGACTGTTTGCAACAACCCTGAAATGTGTTGTCTAAGCAATTCTTGAGGATCCTGAACAGGTTGCGTCTTCAAAACTGCTTCTTCGTCTTCCTCTTCTTCGCCTTCGTAACCATCAGCCAGAGATTCTGCATCTTCTTCGTGTTCCATGATTGCTTTAAAGCTAATTTTCTCAAAGTAATTGTTTATTGAAATTTTATCTGTGTACTGAAATAGAGAAATAAGGTATACCACTATCCGACAGTTCTTAAGAAAGCATGCCTTTCAGGAAAATTGTCGGAGATTCGCGCATTTCTTTAATTCATAAAAAATATTCAATCGACTATTGAAATTCTTCAAGCGTCAAGCGTCAAAAATCATGAAGGTTCATTCTGCGAATACAATATGGAAAACAACACGAAATTGATCCAGAGAAATTAAATAATCATCACGAAATGAGAGAATTTTCATTTGAGCAATTATCCCACTCTCAACTTGAATTGTTGAAACTTTCGTCCAAAGGAAATATTGAATTCTGTGACCCTTCATTTTTTGGCTTTGTGCTTCAAAAATATGAGCATATATATATCTGAATGAAAAACACATTTAATCGAAGTGTCAAACATTATTAGTAGAGCTCTTCGAAAAATCCTTTAAAAAAACCACTTTGAGTTCTTATTATTCCTAGAAACAGTTTCCGTTAATTAAAAATTACTTTAAAAATATCCGAAAGAATTTTCAAGTGAAAGCATACTGTACTGAGGCTCTGATTTGTGTTCGGGTGAGCAATGCACTAAGTGAAACCTCGTAAACCTTTGCATAAGGTAACACTTCCGTAAACCGAGTCCATTAAGCACAAAAACAGCATAAAAATGCTAGGAAAAAATCGGCAAAATGGAAAAGAACTGATTGCTGCACTGAAAAAAATGACAACCACTTCAAGGAAATTCCAGACTGAGCTGCAGAAGTGCGAGCAACAATTCGAGGTGGTTTGCGAGTATCTATTATTGATCAAACGCTATATATAACGTACTTCGTCGACATGGCTTCCAGCGAAAAAAAATGAATAAATTTGATGCTCCCCCCCCCCCAAAATTATTGATCCAACTTTTGAGATGTGAAAATGAATAAGTTCCAAATCATACTCAGCTTCACGAAAGTGCGTAATTTGATCCAGTTCTTGCCGATAGTACCATGCTTTGTTATGTCCTTGTAGCCAAATGCTAATTTCTGGTTTTAAAAACAAAAAAATCGGACGGTATTTTGCTGCTGCGTATAATTTTTTGAAAAGCGTGAAAATGTGCAGTGTGTCTGTGAAGGTCATAAGGGTGGTGATTCTGAATCATATTTATTCCACAGGCTGGAGGTGCTCAGCCACACATGGGAATCATCATAATGATGTAATTGACAGGACGAGTTTTACAAACTTCCATGAAGAAATGACGTTTAGTAAAAAAAAAACAATTTACAGTCTTATACGCAATGGACCCTAGATCCAATTTTCAAAAAGTTTATAACTTGGGTGTGGGAATGTTGATTGAACTTTGTGAATGCTGAAAAGCAAAAAATAAAGCTTCCCCTTCATTCATTCATAGAGAGTGTTTGTCAAATGTTTAAACTCTTCAAAACGTAAAACGGGAACCTCTAGCTATCAGTCTCTACATTGGGTTTGAGAGACGAAGAGAGATGGGGGTGCAAAATGGCGGACGAACCGAGGCTAGTAACTTGATTTACTAGATGCTTTTGGCATGGATGAAAATGTTATTCGAATAAAAATCACAGAAGGTTTAATTGCCAGCAGTAGTTTGTAGCGCAGTAACTCATCAAACTTGCAAAAAAGTGATGCTATTAAGAGATGACCAATATTGTCGTTTATTAGTGCATTTCTGGATCACGACAGCAATATGCTTACTTTGAATTATAAATACTAATAAGAAGTACAATTAAATGAAGAAAAAATTGGAGCAGTTCAATTTTTATATATTTTTTCATCCCGGAAGAAATAATTAATCATCGAGAACGCGGGCATAAAATTCCCTTCAGCTTCGGAGCCAGCACTCAACAAATTTTCAATATATCACTCAATATAACAAATGGTATCCTCTATTCCGAATACTTTTTCTTTCCAACATTCAAGAATGCAAATATCTCTTTCAAAAAAACCCCCTTCACGACGAACACAAACCACATTCAATCAAAGACACTGATTCATCAGAATGCGAGTGTTTTGGACTATTTGGCGCCTCACCGACGCGAGATGTTTTGCATAATCGCTAGGTTTTGGCAAGAAATTCTCTTCAACGTTTACTGCCATTTGCTTTAAGTTTTTGGTATCATTATTTGAATTTAAACAATTGTGATCACAATAACCACAACGAGTTATTGTAGGATGTTGATGATTCCGTGGAAGACAATTATTGCATACGCCCGAACAGCGAACACAGTGACTCGGATTACGTCTGTAATTTCCAAAGTCGTTGAAATTATCGATCCGATGATCGAGGACATGTTCATTTTCGGTGTCATAATCATCATCTTTACGAACACGGAGCCAGTCATCATTGAAAACCTTTGCAGACTTTCTGGGAGTAGATGGCAGAGACTGATGAGCGTGATTTTTCACGTTTCTGCCGATTTTGGTGTCGCCAAGCAACAGGGTTTCTTTGCTTTCTCGGATGCTTTTGGCATACATTTCTTCGGAATGCTTCGTGCTATTGGTGCTGTAAAGTCTTTGTCGTAAAAGTAATTTTCTTTGAAGCAAAGCTTCGTCTTGTTGACGAAGTTCCTGATCGATGTTTGAAAATGATGCGTAATGCTGATGAGGAACTCGGCTTGTTCCTGATGAAAGAGTTTCGCTGGGATCATATGGCGACTGTCTTTCGAATTTCAAGTGCATCAAGTTGAATCGATCACTTTCTGTTGGCATTGCATGACCCTCGTTTTGTTGCCTTTCGAAGGATGATGTAATTGGCTTGTTTTTTGTTGGTGACAGGTGAATGTTGGTCCAGGAGACGGATTTCTTGTGCAAATTTTGGTGTCTTCTCTGATGCTGCAACGCGTTTTCTTCCGTCTCACGAAGTGCTTCTCTCAGCTCACTTTCAACTGAAAAAAAAACACGTTAAAAAATTGTAGTCAGATGTCAATAAATTATTTTTAGGAGAATTCGCTCATCACTGCATTACTTGGCTACTAAATTGCGTTCAGCGCTTCTCGGCCACTACATAAAATAAAGCCGGAAGAAGATAAAATTAAACTAAATTAATTCATGCTAAAAACATGAAGCATACGATTTAGAATCAGCAATCGAAAATCCTTCACGTAACGGATACATTTTTATGGCTTACTTTTCAATGTAGACAAAATTTAAATGCATATTTCAATTTTGTCTACGTGTGGACTGATCGAATTAATTGGGAATATTCAAACTTATTGAATTGAGTTTTACCCAAAGATGCATATTTTATATATATTTTAAATACCGTAAGTATGAAAGAATTTGATCGAATGACGCATTTTTTCTTGAAGTTCCGCTTTTTACAGTACTTACACGGTACATGTACCATTTTGTATTTGCTCATATACCGTAATTTTTTGCTCTTACTTTGGAGTCAACAATTGATGAAGTTGTATATTTATGCTCAAGTTGACCGAAATGAAACGGAGTGAATATATGACTTGTAAATTATAGAGCTGAAGCAAGGTTAGGTTTGTTCATGCAGTTTTTGGTTGGTTTACTTTGAGCTAACAGTGCTGGTGTTTTTAGCGACATCTACTCAATACTTTCGAATACGAAACTCGGCAGTAAACGTGAAAGTAACTAGATTATATAAAAAGTCCAATTAATTCTGCGTCATGTGATGACAAGATGAAACTACTGTACTGTACTGTGTATAGTGTTTCACACTTCGTGAATTTTGTTGAATTCCCAACAAAGTTTTTAGAACAACGCATAGATAATTAATTCCTTTTTACGTCAGTATACTCCTGCAATTTTGAACATTGTTTCCTCTCAGACAGGAACAACATTTTAAATTCTTTTCGTCAGATTTTAAAAATAATTTTAAGGATTTATTTGTGCTTCAAGGACAAGTAAAAGCGGGCGAGTTTGAAGATGTCGATGAAACGTGAGAAATGACAAATGGTCTTGTCATCTAGTTTCTGGTGTACATTTGAATTTCATAGCTCAAAATAGTGTGATGCATATACTTCGTGCCACGATTTTTTCACTCACTCAAGGATGCCAAAATAGAAGACTGAGATGACGTAGTCCCGAGTTCTCTGTCAAGAGAACTCGATCCCATGTCCACAGCCGAAGAACTCCTCGTTCCCAGAGAATCATCAGGCGAAATTAAACTCTGTTCCGGCGAATACATTTTCCTTTCTTGTAAGAGTAAAGCTGCCAATGATGAGGACAAGTTTCCGAAAATTTCCTCCGAAATTGGTAAATTTTGAAGTGAAGAAAATTTAGCCGTTCTTTGAGACTCGAAGTTTTCGTTCCAGCAGGATGATGAAGGACAACTCGACGGTCTTTTCGATATCGAACCAGAAACGAATTTTCTCGGTGAATTCGGTGCACTTGAAATCGAATTTTCCGGATCTGCGATTTGTCCTGGAATAAGTGGTGAGACCTCGTCGTCGAACCGACGAGGTTCTATTACTGGCCAAATATCACCCTGAATGACTTCATGAACCTCTGAATTCTTCCCATCAGTGTTTCCAGCATCAGCCAATAATTGATCGCTTGAAGTTTCAGTAGTTTCTTCGGGGTCATTCCAAACATTCCGAATGCTAGGATGCAACGCATTCCAGGATGACTGCAAGGATTCGTTGATGTTTTCAGACAAACAATCTTCCTTGGAAAGTTCGGGTATGGTTTCCAAAGAGAGGAAATCATCGTCGCGAAGAATGTGACGAGCTAAAGCAATCAAATCAGTGAATTCTTCATTGATTTCCGCAGACGAAGTTCTTTCGTCTTCTGAATTCGCTGCTCCGACGGTCGTGTATTTTTGCTCGACGTAGGAAAGCGGTTCTCTTGTCGTCAATTTTTCTTCTTCTTCAGCTGAACATTTAAAATGTAGAAAAAGAAAGATCACAACTAATTTATATTCGAAATTGAAAATGATTTACCTGGTTCAATCGGAGCAGAGCTGATGTCAAAAAACTCCGTCTCAAAGTTTGGGGGGTCTTTCGGAAGTGCATCTATTTCAGTCTCGTTGATTGGAAATATCGGAAGATATTGACCTGAATTCGAATCAATTTCTTGATAGCTATCGATTATGAGAGGCGCAGAAGGAAGGGAATCCGTTATTGATGAATCTTCTTGAGAAACTTCGAGCTCTTCGGGAATGCTTTCGGATTTCATTTCTTCCTGTTCTTCTGGTCTCTCGCTTTCGTTGCTAGAAAATTGAATTGCTTCTGAATCTTGTTGAACATCCAGGGAGGAATCTGCGGAATCCGAACAGGCTTTGTCCAAATTTGAACATTTTTCTGAGGGTTCTGCTGATGGAGGCTTTTCAACTGCTGGAAGATCACCGCTTTCACGAGAAATGAGTTCGATTTCTTCCAAGCAAGATATTTGCTGCGATACCTGGGAAAATTGGATTTACATCAACCAAGAAATATTGTCAAGTTAAAAAAATAAAAATTACCTGATCGTGGACTTTGTTGAACAGACAGAAAATGCCACAAACTGAGTCTTCCGCACTCATTTCCGCTGAATCGGAAGTGATGATTTATGAGGGCTCTTCATTGGAATTTATATTTTCCTGATCATGAAAGGATTGACTATCTTGTAAAATACACTCTGGAACACCGATTCTATCATTTTCCTCGTCGATACTGACAATGACGAGAACTTCATCCTCTGTTTCCTCATTCGAAATCAAACCAATTGCTGGACTTCTTCTTTCACTCATTGTCCAAATGTCCGCCACTTGCATATCGGCTAAACAAATACGCGAAAAAATCAACAAAATTCCAAGAAATGTATAGTTTAATTGAAGTTCGTATATTTCCAGGTTCTATTCTCGAAAATTAACTTATAATTTTTCTTTTTAATTTGAGAGTGGTGAATGAACTTGAATGAAAGAATAATAGCAAGGAAGTAGCGCGTCAAAAGCCGGAGCGCGTAAAATTATTGACTATACTTTTTCAAATTTATATCGGTATTCAATAATTTTTGAGAACACATTTTTGTGGATTCGAAGAAATTCAGCTATTTTTCCCCTTCCTCCAGATCCAAGAACGAAAATGTCCAGTGGTCAAACGAAATGACTGAGAAGTTCTTCATGATAATTTTTAATTTTTTTCCGAGAAATTTCGTAAAGTGAATTTATGAAAGAATTCCCAACTGCTGATTAGAAAGTACATGTTGAATTGATAAACATTTTTTGGGTGGAAGTCTTCTCTATTTTCGTAAAAATTTCTCAATTTCGTTGCAAAAAAAAAAAAACATCGTTTCATGGATAATTTCCAAGATAAAAAATTTCGGAGTAGACAATCAATTTAATTTGTGTGGCCTTCTGGAATGCTGATCTTATGTTCAGAAATTTTTTTGGCACTAACTAAAAGCTGGAATGATATCCAGAAAAATTATTCACCTGATGCTGATGGAAGACCAGAAACGACCAGCTGTGGTTCCGGAAATGAACCCAAATCTTCTTCTTTTCCAACTGAAACCTCGGATTGGTTGTTTTCCAAGGAATCAAACGGAATGCATGGATTTGAAATTGTTACTTCTTCAACGAGTCTGTCAGCCTCATGATGGTGTTCAAAAACAGCCTCTTCGGGTTCATCATCAGCAGAAAATTCTCCGCTGTCCAGTTGTCCATTCATAAATCCATTCGCACTCATGGTTTTCAAATTCCCCAAACTCAGATCCTTTTCAACTGATTGATTTTCTTTGCCCACGGGTTCGTTTCGTTGATGTTCAAAATGCGAAGGGGTTTCAGTCCGAAGGCATTTTGGGTCAGTTAGGATCGTTTCACAAACATTTTCCGCGTCCAGTAGCAGTTTATTTGGCTCACTTTCCAGCAAAAGAGCGTTATTTGGAGGAAGAGCTTCTTTGGAAAATTCTAGACTTTTTTCGCAATCGGAAATAAGGTCGCCGAATTGCTGGTTATTGGATTGATGATTGATTCCTTCGCCGGAAACACTGGAACAACGACTGTCGGTCGTACTTCTTTGTCGACGACCGGAAGAAGCGAACATGTGTTTGCGTCCTTCCGGCGTTTCCAAGGTTACGCCCCTCGTCGTCGTCGTCGTCGTCGTGTTCATCAGGGATTCTTCTAGGTCGTCGTGACTGACTACGACACGCGGTGTTCCACGTGCCTTATTATTCTCGCAGTTTTGAATTTTGCAACAAGACGAGGAGCACGGGCTGGATTTAACCGGGGTCGTTTCTGTGTCAGCCACGTTGACGTCGGTATTGCCATCTAGCGAATCCGCGTCGAAGCTTTCGAGGGACACGTTGAGAGTCTTCTCGAACGATGATCCAGATTTACTGCTGCTGTGGGATCGTCGAAAATGAGAGACTTTCCTCTTGAGGAATTCGAATTTGGGTTCGTGTTTTGGATGAAGACGAGTTACTGAAGCGCTGACGACGACGACGGTTTTTTGCAGTCTGCAGATTTCAGACGAATTTTGCGAGTTGAGGTGAATGTTCGGGGTGCTTCTGGTTGCTTGTTGATTCTGCGTGCAGAAATTCCTGCGGGAGCAGCACGCGGTGCAACCGTGCTTGTGTCCTACTTTCGCTGGAACATGAAAAAATTTCAAAAGAATTGTAAAAGAATATTTCAGCAGAAATAATGAAACAAAAGTCCAAAATACTGTAGAAGTACTGTACTGTACAGCAGTAAAATTATTTCTTCAGAGTGTCTTTCCGTCCTATGATGTGGACTAGATCAGCATTCCTCAACCTTTTTGGGCGTGTGGACTGGCAAATTTCCATAAAATGTTCTGCAGACAGGCAAATTTCAAAAAAAAAAATCGGCAGAACAACAAAGTTTGCGTGGAATTTTTGTAGACTCATCAAAGTTTTGTTTGCAAGACTTAATGGCAGGTATTTGCGAAGTTTCTGCTTATATGCAATAATTAGGTTAAAAGCAAATGAATCCGGTATAGTGTAATGCCTTCAAACAATTAAAAAGGTTGACTTGAAGAAAGGTTTCTCAGAATGAAAAATTAAGATAATTTAATCCAGCAGGTTGAAGATTAGCGTGTTAGCTCAGAATATTGAATGAGGTAATTAAAGTTAAAAGGCCCTTTAACACTAGGTTCTGACTTCTCCTCTCAAAGAGGAATGAAGGTTCACATACCCAGGTGCTTGGACTGGGTCAGGAAGAAATCAGGTGCTTTCTTCCTGGCTCAGGATTGGCCAATTTTTGTGAAATCAAAGAAGTGATGACCACTTCTTATCCTTGAGTGAGGCTCAGTCAGTTTGGCAAAAATGGGATTTTGGCAAGGCTCACTAGCCTCCAGATTGAACAAGTTTTTGGGTCCGGTTGCAACCGGATGCTGGAGCTGCGTCGCTTCGGGACGCGACAGAGATAGTTCATGTGTTAATAAGTAACTGTAATAATTGCATCAACACTCCTCAGCACAAATCCTTCTTATTTTTTCCTCTCTCTCTCCCGCACAGCAAGAAGCTGTACCAAGAATTCCATCCATCCCAAAACGAGTCACCAATCATCGCCAAGAAAAATAACATTCGCACCGATAAAGAAAAAGTGTCGCCCTTCGTCATCAGAATTGTGAATCGGCCCCGAAATGACCGCGTGGACCGAATTTGGTGGAACTGGCGGCCGACTTCAAAGGACAGCTTGAAACAGGGCTGGAAAATCACTGATGCTCATCTTCCGCACCACGGATATTTGAAACCTACGTGGAAATCAATGCGTTTGTTCTTCCGACGTGTTTTCAGCGTGGAATCCCTGGCGAAATACGAGGAGTATCGCGTGGAATTTGTTCGCTTATTGTCGGCATTCTACTCATCGTAACCCAGCAGCAAATGACGCCCCCTATTTGAATGCTGTTTCGAAAAAAAGGTATGATCGAGCTTTTTTTTATTTACAGCATGAAAGAAAATGCAAATTTTTAGTCGTGGAAATAAAGCGAGACGGGAATCGTGACCTGTGCGTTTTTTTTCCATTTTGATTCTTTTTAAACCTAAATAGGGATCATATATTATTAATCCAGGTTCGTAAGATTTAAACCCATACATATTTTTAGGTTTCTCACGGAAAAATTACTAAAAACCGAGAAAATACAATAAGAACAAGAGCGAGAAACTGGGACTTTGAGGCCATGGACAAAAATGGAATCCAATGATGCTTCAAATACAGGCATTTCTCCATTGGCATTTTCATTTTTTAAACCTTGAATTCCAAAAAGAAACGGTTTGAAATTATGCTTAAAATTACGTTCAGGTTTGAGCTAACAATGACGAAAGAAATATTCCATATGGAGGAATCATGAAGTATTATTTAAACAGGTCACAAACTAGGAAAAAGTGACTAAATAATTCACCAATTTTATCTTTTTTTCTGACTCATTTATCCGGCAGTTTAGGGAAAAAAGTCACCGATTTTCACGTCCTTGGGATTTCGTTCCAAGTTTTTCAGAACTAAAACTCGCAAAGCGTTTTTTTTTATAGTCCTATGAGTTTTACTTGCTTGAGGCACTCAAACTTTATTTGATTTTGTACATATACAAACTTTGTTCTCATGTGGCAGGTATAAAGTTGCCTTAATTAATATAACAGCATTGTCATGACTTAAACGATCTGTGCTGTATTGTACTAAAATTACGCGTAAAAAAAGAAAATCGACTGACGCAGTCCACATACTTTTGATATAGATATTACTTTAATTTATAGCTGTGAACATCATTGCACTCACAAAGCTCGAACATGATTTCAGAAATATTCGCCGTCAAACGCGCGAAAATCGTTTCCAATAGGCGTTAACCCAATTGTACATGGTTTCATTTCCCAACACGTCGCGAAAAAATGCGTAACTCCTGTTCCATGACACCTCCGAGTACCCGTTGGTCAATAAATGACCATCCATGACTGTCTTTAGCAATTCCGCATTATTCTGCATCGTAGCATTCTGCAATTCAGGCTTTTGCATTGTACCATTCTGAAGTTGAACATTCTGCTGATGAACACGAGGCCAAACCCAGCCACTTCTGTCTATTCGATCCGTGGACAGCATATTTCGCGACACCAGCTGTAGACGTTGGGAATTTTGACCTGGCGTTGTTGAACCGTTCAGGTAGATGTCGATCTTCACGCTATTGAATACAATACGATACACGTGATACCTCGCAATTCGACCTCCTGAAATTTGACTGTCCCACAATTCGACTGTAAAATGTGCAGGGAGGTTAACTTTCAATTTAACCCTTTCCCCTGCAATTTGACCAACTTGGGCCACTTTTTTTTTGCATGGATATTTTTGATTTTCACGAAGAAGTGTCTCGCAATTCGACTGCTTTGCAACAATTGGGATGATCAAACCGTTTCCTAATCCCAGCTTAATGTTCCATGAAGACAGGATTGAGGACAAGGCATCAAAAATTTTTTTGAATTTCCTAACTTTTACTGTACTTTGTGCTCAAATGAAGTCATCTCACAAAAATTTAATAAACACTTTTAAAGCAAGGTTGTGCATGATTGTGACTGAGTTTTAAAATATTCAACAGATGCTTTCGAAAGTCCAACATTTGACTAAACCTGATCTAGGTGGTACCTCGTAATTTGACCCTAATCATTTGCTAAACTAGGGTTGAATTGCAAAGCAGTCGAATTGCGAGGTACCACCTGTATCAGGTTTAGTCAAATGTTAGTCTTTCAGAAGCACTCGTGAAGACGTGGACTTTAAAACAGCAAGAATAATGATACAATATGTGGACAAACCTCAGGAAATGCTGGTCCAGGTACCAGCCAGGTCCTCCCCTGATCACGATTTTTGACAAGAGATTCAAACCCAATTCTTTATCGACCGCTTCGCGGATCCGCTTCGGAGTGACTTCGTTCCCTGAATAACCGATAACCGTTTGCCATTGAGATACGTTCATTGTGACGTAGGACATGGGATGCATCCACACTTGGCGGAAGACATGCAGGAAGTAACCACAGCAACCAGCTGGCTCCACAATGCGAACTGCAGCCAAACAAAACCAAGAAGAAAAGGAAAAAACTGTAACTGTGTAAGGTTTCTTCATAAAGTACGTTGTAATAAGTGGCCAAGCCAGGAAAGAAATTGGGGCAAAAGAGCACAGAAATGAAGTGAAAATCCAAAGGTGATCCACGTACTGTACAGTCCGCTGTCGATTTAGTGCCACAAATGTTCCAGGGAAAAAATCTCCCACCAATATGTTCTTGAGGGTAATCCCGACTCAGAGCCAATAAACTCACTTAATACCAGAAAACATGTTCTGTCCTTCATGAAAAACAGACCAAAATTCGAATAAAAATGCAATGCGCAGAACTGTAATTTTCTTTTCGTTTCTTACTTGATTGATGAAAAATGCTCATCAGTTCAAAATTTACTTTAAATTTGCTGCTTTTCGGGCAAACAATTTTTTTTAAACGTGAAAAAAATTCCTCAAAGTAGAAAATCTCGCAATGCGGTCCAAGTTCTTCTCGCTGAGAATTTTTATTATGTATAGATTTTTCGTTTTTGTGCCTTCGTTAATGCGGGGAATCAGTATAGCCTCATCAATAAATAAAAATCGCGCTTTTTGGATAGATCTTCAACATACAGTATAAGGAAGGTAGTTGCATGCATCGAATATTTTGACAAAACGGCAGATCGCATATGCTGTGTCTTTTTGTTTTGATTCCCAAATTTTCTCGAGTACCAGCACGCGTACAGGTATTTTCATTCTGAAATTTTAATCCTGAAGTCCCATCTTCGAGAAAGATTTACACAAGTGATAAAAAACTACAACATTGCGTAAATAAGAGACATATCATATAATTCAAAAGATTAAAATGAATGGAACCTATATACAGTACATTCAAATAATTTTCACGTATTCATTCACGAAAATATCTTGTCAAAAACTCCCCATTATATTCGTGGAATGCGAACTTTTATACCATTTCTTGAAATTTTCATTCCTGCCCATGACACTTTACCCCCTTTTTTCCTTTCAATTTTGAGAAGAAAAGTACTCAAGTAAACACAGTAACTTTCTGGAACAATTAATAAAAAACGGAGATGATGGAATTATTTTTCACGCTACGTAACACATTGGAAACAAATGATATATTATTAAAATGGCAGATCGAAAATGTAGCTCCATTACTTGCAGCGACATCTGGAAGCGGCCTGCGCAAAACACCGGGTCCATCAACCGGCATGAGATCCGCATCAGTCGTTGTCACAAGTATTGAATCAATGTTTTTCCTCGTCGACGAACCGGTGGCATTTCCAGGGGCTGACAATCCCGAGTCCTCCGTGACAGCTGCCAAACGTTTCAGGATCAATGCGCCAAATAATCGCGAAATTTGGCTCATCGTCACTCCTGTATCATTGGTCTGTTCTCCTTCCGCATCATAAAGATAGTATATCACGCAATTCGGACCCAGGTTTTTCAGAGCTTGGATCATCACCTTTCAAACATTTCAAAAGGTTGGAGGAAATATTCAAAAAGGAAAAATAAATCACAACTGCTTACTTTCACAGGAGAAAGAAACGATATAGGGACAAAATTACTGTATTTATTTAGAAAACGCTCTAGAATTAAATATTTTTAAACGCGCGCTTTGTGTATTCATTTTTAGAATTTCAGGAATAGCTGGAGGCATCAATTCGTTAAGTATACCCTGAGATAAATTAAGCTTCATACTAGAAAAAGATGCCCAATGAGACCCATTCAGTGATTGACTAATTATTCTTATGCTTGAAAGCATCGGGGCCTTTTATCTCTGTGGGACCTAAAGCAAATTGAAAATGATGGCATGCATAATTGTAATTCGAAATTACAATGACCAATTTTCGTACTTGGACGAGTAGAACCTTTTATTTTATTTCTCACGTCGTTAGTATTGATATGAAGATTGACTGCTGATCAAGGCGATCAACTTGATGGATTTTGAAACTGGACTTGCCGGTCTCTTGATCTTTGACATTTTTATCAAAAACTTTCAGCAATTCCACATGCATGAGATTCAATCAAACGAGACTAAATCATTCCGACGAGCAAACCGATTCAAAAAATCAGGATATTCTCACTGGACTATTATTTTTTTCGAAGTTATGAAGTGGAAAGTCTACCAATTCCGCTGTTTCAATCAAAACTCACAGAAGTTCGTGGATTCTGTTCCCATTCGATTCTTGGACCCACAAGAATGGCCAGGAATGAAACATTGAGTCTAATCCAACCAGCCGCAACGATTGGCAAGTAGAAAATGTAGCTCCATTCCTCGGCTTGCTGATTCCCGTTTGGCAAAGGCGGAAATGCCACTGCTGACACTGCGAAGTGGTTGACGTTGCTGGGAAATTGTAGTCCTTCGAACCGATTTCTCATTGACGAATCACTCAATTCAAATCGGTTTTCAAAAGGGAACATTAAAGTAATTGTGCGCATAGTTATGAGAATGAATCCATAGACGAACAGTGCGCATAAAATTCGTCGAACCGATGGCAGAATTTGCGATATTCTGCGGAAACATTTTCGGCCGAGTGTGACACATCCATCGAACATGTTGCTGCTCGGGATCCTTATTAGTTGCTGTATTATTGCGTAAACACATAGTCAAAACATGAATGCGAATACACGAGTTTATTCACGCAAATGTGAAATCCTCCTAAAATTACTCAGCACCGTTCACCAGATTTTCAAAATTTTATTCAAGAATATTGAAAACACGTCAATGATTTGGATCATTTCGCAAAAAAATTAAGCAGAAACACACATTCGCGAATCATGTCTGAAATTAGAATTACGCACTTCCGATCACATTTCTCGACGAACTGATCCTGTGACAAACTGTGCATGATACTTGAAAAATATGTTCGAGTTGGAATGCTTTTCACGGTTCCTCGCATCCAACACAAAAAGGTTTTTCTTAATTTAGATTGAGAAAAAATTACAATGTTGCGATAAAATATTTACATTACAAGAAAAGGTTTCATTTTCATATTGCGCAAACTTCACGGAAAGTGTACATCTCCAACTAAAAAGAAACATTATTTGCGTAATAATACCGTGGCATCCGAGAAACATAATCAGCACTAACAAAACAAATAAAAAATGTTGTTATCGCATGACTTTTGGCGCCAATGCAGTATGTTTGCATTTTCAGGAACCGGATGTACGTGTCTTCAGTTCCGCCATGCAAAAACTGAGTCTTGCATGCGGGTTCACACTTTTTAAGCGGAGTATCAAAAACAGAGTTCCCTTGGCAACGATCGCTTTTTTGACGACGAATATAATGTTCTGTGCACTCTACTACAATACTGTATACTGTATATATTTTTTGTGGGCAGGCGTTGTCATGCAATGCACAAATTTCATTTACATCTTCCGGCATCCTTAATTCAAGCTCACGAAAGTCTGTCCAACTCATTTGTAGATGTCACTAACACGAATACGATGAGCTGAACTATACTGTAGTTTCATATACGCAGTCTGAATGAACATATTCTCTTCTAATTATTATTGTACAAAAGGAAAATTAATCCTCATTGTCCCATACATTTGTTTACCTGCTTCATTAGTTATAAAAAATTTCAGATAACTAAGGCTATGATAAGAACAAAAAGCGGGAACATTGAGAAACATATTTTGTTATGACCTAAAATGAAATTTAATGCTGAATATACAGGCATTCCTATTATCTTGATTTTTTGTCCATTTCATTTTATTCAAGAGAAGAAGCTGAAATTACCCTTAATATTACGTACCTGTTTCAGCTAAATATTCCCCTGGCTAACAAACCTTCCAACAAATTATGACCATTGTACCATAAATAGCTCCATTCATCGGGAAAGAACTGCTGTAGATAATTCACAATAATTATCATGAAAGAACTGCTGTAGATAATTCACAAAAATTATCATGTTTTCTGACTTCTCAGCAGTGGAAAAGAAAAAGGACCAATTTTTGTTTGTCACTGCTGAACTACTGTACAACACGAAAAAGAATAATCAATGTACCCAGTAGAACTCTTGTCTGCAGGTAATCTCTATTTTACACTTCTACAGGTAGACTCTCTCTACCACGATTTTGTCTACAAGGATATTCGTCACCCATATTATCAACGTTCTCTACAACCATTTTTTTCGGTTCCCTATATTCCTATGTAGAAGTATAGTCCACCTTTATATGCTATTTGTATTCAAATGTTTTATTAGTTGAAGAGAATTCCAGATAACTGTGACTATGACAAAAGTTCCCCAGTGGAATACAGTAGTTAAAATGTAAAAACTGACTCATGACTTGAGTCATGACACGAAGGTTGAGACAGCCAGACGACCGATGCACTTCAAACCTGCCAATTTCATACGAAGTTTACTCAGATTTTTTCGACTAATATGGTTCTGGTGAGACGTATAAATTCAATCAGTCTTTGATTGAATTCA